CTTCTGCGAGCACTTCTGTACGTATCGCGACAACGCGTTCCAGCAGCCCGACTGCCTCCTTGACCTGTCCGTTGGCTTGGTATGCGATGGCGAGCACATGCTGCGACAGCAGCCGCTTTGAGTCCCTCTTGTCCAATTCTTCCCTCTGCTTGCATGACTCCTCAAGCCATCTCACTGCTTCCCGGATCCTCCCATCTACTCGTAGGCATCGTCCCACCAAGAGACACAGCTCCGACCTCTCTTCTGCTGGATAGCTTTGGTTGTCCTCCAGCAGCCGCAGCGCGTGCGGTAGATACTTCCTCCATACTGTCCGGTTTGCATAGTCGTCTGACGGGAACACATTGACTAGCTGCCTAGTGGCTTTTTTGGCCACCCCTCTAGTGTCGCTATATTGCGTGACCCAGATCCGGGTAGCTAAGTGCACCAGTCGGTGCACATCATACTCCTCTTCATTCCCTCGTCTCACCAGGAAGGAGTACCCACAGAGCATGCTGATTGCGTCTTCCATTCGCACTTCTGACTGCACGCTTGGCAGGATAGAGCGCGGAATGGCTTTCCATTCAATGCATGATATAAATTGCAGAAGGTCTGCTGCAACGGCATCGTGCACACGGATGTGGTTAAATGACACTACCCATGTTGTGGCCACCGCATTTGCCGAGTCTTTGTATCGTGTATCGTCGCGGAACTCCCGGCTCATGAGCTCGACGAGGTCCTGCTCTGTGCTCTGTAGTAGCTGTAGGTACTTGGCAATAGACACGCCAGTTCTGTTAAGGTAGGCCGCTGCCTGTGCGATCGCCAGAGGTAGATATGTTAGCTCATCCAGAAATGTCTCCTTCTTTGTATTGTCGCAGAGAAGGTCCTTCCCAGTCAGGGATTTCTTGAGGAAGTTGCCCGCGTCTTGTCGATTCATCGGCCCGAGCTCTAGCACATCGCCGCGTGTTAGGTCTGCTGCTATCTGCTGCGTGCGTGTAGTGAACAGGGTCACACCCTCCTCGCTCTGTGGTAGATAATTAGCAATGCCGGTCGCCTGTCCTGTCCCAAAGACGATGTCTGGATTGTCGGCGTTGTCGACCACCAACAGCCACTTCCCCGCTCGCGCTGAGCCCAGGTGCCGCTTGAGCAGCTCTTTCGCATCACCCTTGCCGTTGGTGGCCTGAGGCATGCCAAGGAGTCGCAACACTTCAGTGCACGCCTGTTCGAAGCTCTCCATGCTCAGCGCAGGCACCCAGAAGACGGAGAAATCGGGCCAGTTCTCCCTCACCGTGTACGCAAACTGCAGCGCGACTTGCGTCTTGCCTGTCCCGCCAAGCCCGACAACTGACATCTTGTAGCACGCTCTGTCGACCATGAGCCGCTGCTTCAGCACGTCGAGCTCATTCTTCCGCCCAACGAACGATCGGTTGGGGAGGAACGGGATGGAGTAGATTGCCTTCTCTATCACGCTATTAGCTATGCTCTAATACAGGGAGGAAAACAGCTACACTAACTGCGCGCGCTCTGAATCGCCTCTTCGACTGTCCAAGTCTTTGCTACATCAGTTGGCGGAATCACCAATAGCACCTCCTTCGCATACGCCGCCGCGACCCCCGCCGCATATGGCTGCCATCTCTTGTTCTTGTGCGAGTCTGAGTAGTCGCAAATGCCGCGGACGACGAGGCAGGGGAAGCTGTTCATCAGGCCCGCCGCCTCCATCTCGAAGCAGAGCACCCCGCCGAGCTCCGCGCTGACGCTGTCTCGCTCTGCCGCGTTCTTCATCACTTGGTTTCCCGACGCGATCGTCCCGTAGTGAGACACCACCTCCTCGTCGCGCGGCTCCCGGTCTTGATAGCGATCGGTCCTGCATCCGTCGCACGTCTGCCCGCCCTCGTGGTCGTAGCCCGCGTCGAACAAGACGTCAGGCCCTGTCTTGCTGCGCTGAAACTTGGGGTTGCGCTCGAGCTTGCTGATATGCTCCGACACCTTGCTCTTCCCTCGGAACTCATTCGCCCGTACCTTCGCGACCGCGCCGAGCAGCAACTGCGGCGGCGCATTAAGCGATCCCGTCCGCTCGAACCCGCTCGCCGTCGCCTTGCCAGAGTCGTACTGCACCACCCCGCCGAACATCTTCTCTGGCTGGCTGACCACTACGTCTCCGAGCCGAATGTCCGCCGCTGCACTGGGAACTCCGCCGCCGATGCCGACCATCAGCCCAAAGCGAATTCCCTTGAACGTCGACCTCATCTGCGTCGCCACGACCGCCGCGGGGTTGTTGCCGATGCGTCCAGCCGGCAGGCACACGATCGCGACGTTGTGACCCGCAATGGACCCGAGGGAGTACAGGTTCTCATCGCTGTCGTCTATATCGCGCTCCAGGTCTGCGTGCTCTTCGTCCAGCATCTCCTGTGCTGCCGCCAGCTCGACCGGGAGCGCGCACACCCATCCTACCGTGTATTCCTCGCGGGGGAGCCGGGGAAGCTGGGCCATCTAGAGCCGTCACGGCGGGAGGGGAGAGGAGAGAGAGTAGAGGGGAAGTATGGAGTGAGGGTGATGGCTGAGAAGGCCTGGCGCTGCCGCTCAGCCTCATGGCGACTCTGGGCAGCCCGGTCAGACTGAGGTGTGGTTGTCCAGCTGCTGCCGCAGGTGCTGACGGGGGCAGGATCAACGCGGCCCGCCATTGCCTGATCCCGAAGCGCAAGGCGCCACGGCGCCTCATGCGCAGCCATGTCAATCGTTGCAGCCACATCTAACTAAAACTTGAACATATTCTATGAATGCTAATATTGTTAAACATACATATCTCAATCCTTGTATTATTGAGGCAACGATAAACACAATTCATGCTAATTTCTCGCGCGTTCTCCTCTTCTCCCGCCAAACCCTAGTTGCCATCGTCAAGCACGTCAGCGGGATCGCAAACGCCTAGTAGATCTAGAACTTGCTAGAAACGGACCATCTCGACGGCTCAGTACCTCGACCCGGAGAGTAGTTGAAAAAGCTCATGCTAAAGATTGCCTATTTGCGTTAGCAGCCGTGGCAGCTACCAGAAAAGACTCACTGATAAGAAGGTCGGTGGTAAGAAAGCCATCGTGACTATTGAAATTGTCCTCATAGCGCTGCTGTCCATCTTTGCTGCCTCTCCTAGTCTTGTCATAGCCTGACTGTCTCGCTGGGCAATCATGTTGTATGCCTACAAATGCATAAGCGAAGCGACAATCACAGCTATCGGGGGTTGTGCTTACAAGTGAAACCTCGTTCTGTAGCCGCTCCTTATTGGACTGTGACCGGCGCTCGAGATTTCGAAGCATCCGGATCTGTGATTCTATGTGCATCTGGAGTTGAGAAGAGGCCTTGACTGGCTGTCCTTTCTCGCTTATATCCGAACAATCCCGCACTTGTCGCTCCATCGCCTGTAGCGTTTCGATAGACGCGCCGAGCGTTTCGTGGGAGTGAATAGTGTGCCTGGCTGCCTCGTGCAGTGAGATGAAGTCGTAAAGTCCATAAGCGATCCTGTCAAAGGCCATCAACACAACCGAAGTCTTGGTGCGCCCACTGCCTCACCTTTTCAATGCTGCGCACAATATCTCGCACAGACCACACAGTGGAGTCTTGAAGAGACACAACTGCCTCTATAACTGCCACATGCAATGAATATGGTTCAAAAGGCGGAATCGTCGGCCACATGCTTAGAAGAGCACTGTGTAGAAGGCAACGAAAAGAAGTAGGTACGCCAATGCACAAAACCGCACATCGGTTAGGGAGCCAGTGTGAAACGAAAGTCAATTTGTGCCACACATAGCTCGAGCCTGACCATCCCGCTCGACTGGCGTCGCAGCACGAGCTCGCCAGAGCAGACAGGCCAAGGAGGCAGTTGGGCTACTAGAATATGTGGTTAGAATGAAGCAAAGGGTCTATAGATTCGATCATCCTTCCCAAGTCGTATCTAAGAGTGTCCTGAGATCTTGGCGGGATGCTTTGTCGCTGTGCTAGACTAAATAGCTTAACTTATATATTGCCACATATCACGGTGTTCAGATGTATCGCAATACCACACAGACCAGCATCGATAAATCGCGACATCTCGGCGCAAATTAGACCCCTATATAACCCATACTTATAGCAGGTAGAGTTAGAGAGGTCTGATAGCTAATTACAGTATTCCTAGAATAGCTCCAATACGAACTCACTCGCTTACCAAGTTTAATTATGTGATCAATTGCCTGTTGTCTATGCAGGAGCGTGCTTTGATATCACTCCTCATCCAAAATCGGGTTAAAGATAATCCGTACGCTTCGACCACTAGCACAGCCACATATCTTCCAGTGCAATACCCCACTCGTGCAAAGAGTAAGATGTGCGGGGTCATCTCACATTAGCCCAGATTAGTTGTTCACTTCTGTTAGAGGTCCAATCAGCAGCGCGTCGCTGCATGAAATTGCTCTCTACAGCGCGTATATGGCTCATGATGACTTCCTAACGCCTAAGAGAGCCTCTGGGGCTTAGACAAGGTTATTCTATAAGAATTCAGAGCAACAAGGACTTAGAGTTAGCATTGTAGGGAGGGAAGTCTACACACTATAAAAGAAGGCGTTATACAAATGAGGCTCGGAGACGACGACGCAAAGGTAATCTTTTATAGGGGTACATTACAGGCATTTAGAATTTGCTACAGAGCATTACTTTTACAGAAATGTAGCAATATTCGTTGTGCGCATAAGCTCTTCAATTGCTAACAGTTAAAGTACCCCTTATTTTTCTCAGCACAGAGTGTTTCTCGCTAAGCAGTAAGGGACGTTACTAGGGAAAACCCTGCCCTGCAGAAACGTAACGGACGCTACAGGGAACACTAGAGTTTAATGCTTGATCTACTGAAAAAGGTGCATAATGCTGTCCATTCAATACACAATGCGCTTGAGAAATATATTCGTGAGGACATAGCGGCTGAGCAAGAGCAGCTTGTGTTTTGCGTTGTTGGGAGAGTCTGTTAAAGGACAAGAATATAATCCGGCTGGATGAATTTATTTGTAGCTGTCCGTACGCAGCAGCAGCGTCGCGGCCTGGATACGAGCGATCGCGCACGAGCAGGATCACGTATCTATGTCACATGATGCTCGTGCGCGAACCTCCGTGCGCGAACATCTAGATATCCCCCTTTTCCTCCGTACGGAGAAAAAGACAAGAGCAATAGAACCAGAAACATGTTGCCCTCACCTTACCTACCTCGTACGCTGTGCACACCGTACACCACTCTTACTCTTGCTACTTAAGTGCTCATACCATAAGCAGCTAGCTGTCAGAGCCCATTCAACAGTAGCGTTAATTACTGTAATTTATCATACTCAAATGCCCTGGGGATGGATACGATGCCCAGTAGCCGGACAACCTCTATTTTCTTCAGCAGGGTCTATACAACTATGAAGAGCTTGGGGACTGTGAATGCAAGCGAGCATATGCGCAACATTTCATTCGATATCGAGCGGGCGTAGTCGTTACGACAAAAACTGAAAGTACTGGATAGGAATATGTCATTATTGCTATGTGCTACAGTGGGTGGAAAGGGCCTTTGGCCGTACCAGTGGCTCTGCCCCTAGGATCGAGTCAGAATTTCGAGTGGTTTGAGAAGCTTCTTCCACCCGAAGGAAACCGGACAGTCTCACGTTATGGAGTGCCGGAGGTAGAGTACTGTCTTAGTAAGACTATAGACTAACGATGCGCACTTGAATGTGGATTCCTGGAGGCCATATTCGTTGTAGTGATGAACATCCTCAAGCCCGCTTGGTCTGTTGGGATATATTAAACGTTCAAGTCCGATAATAAAGAGACGCTAGGGCCCGGAGAGGAAGACAAGCGGAACCAGAAGATTTAATTACCACAGGCTCTGCTATTACGTCATTCCTAGAAGACCCTGTTCCATAAACGCCATGTATGAGTATCGTCGAAAAAGAGGATTTTCTGAATGGCATCTGGGCTCCGCCGGCTCCCTATGGGGCCCATCCCCTGGCGGGACCGTATTCCGTGTGCAGTGCTCCTAGCAGTTGGATTACATCGATGGAAAACTGGCGTAGCTCTGTGGGTCCTTTCCAACAGGGGTGAATTCTAGACCGGCTACTAACTAAATATAAACAGTCTATCATACCTCTTGTCCCAGCTATATGTCTTCATGTGAAGCTTCATTAGCTAGTGAATGATTTTAAAATCGACGGGGTCGCACCGAAAGAACTCGGGTTGGGGAAGCGAGTCGATTCTTTTCATTCGGCGGCTGGACTAACATTATTTCATGGGCTGTTGATGCGTCACCGACCAAACGGGACATTCTAAGCCATATAACTTTAGACATCATTCCGCAAATAGCGGCCACTGGAATAGCCGCCTTACAGTCATGATGGCAGCCCCGAGTACTACAAATATGCCACGCCCGTTACAAATCAGGACGGAACCACGGTCCATGAAAACAAGCGCAGTCTCCGAGTCACACATCCCTAAGATGGAATGGAGCAGGCTTCCGCTTACTCTGACCATATCGTTCCAATACTGGGCTCTAATACTGGGCTCTGAATCCGATTCCTTGGATAGCATTGCACTGGCTTACATCTCAAGCGGTCGTTTCGCCCGCGTGGATGTCCTGGATACTGGTTGGAAGTCATGGCGATGTCTATCAGTAAAGCCGGCTATTCTGCGCCCGGAATGATAAACGTGCTTGCGGCTTCTTCCGCTGTCTTTATGTTCGCTATTGGTGTTAGTGTTTGGAGTATCGAGAAACTTTCAGCGACGTGTAGTGCAGTTCTCAGTACTGCGTGCCACCTAAAGTATCCCAGGATGAGGCACCATGAAAAGGAAGTTCCCTGGGAGGTTGAGCTGTTGGATGACAATGGTTTGATGGATGGAAGAGGAGGACGGTGAGAAAATATGGCACTGTCCTTCCACAAGTGGAAATGCGAGTTACCAACGCCCAGATAAGTTTTGCGACTAACGACTTGTTTATAATAAGGGTAGATGTAAGACTAGAGATAGGTATGGATGAAGCTGGAGAGTTGTGGAATTGCATACGATTATATTTACAATTAGAGAAAGGGTTTTTGAGTCCAAATTATGGCAGCTATCGTGATGTTGAGGAGTTCAGATAAGTCTCCGTAGGCCAAAGATGCCCAGGCGGGATGCTGAAGTGGAAATGTGGGGAAGAAGTGAGAGGTGACGCACCACTGTCCCACCCATGTACTACGGATGTCTCTTTTTTTCGGGCTAGTGCTCACACGAGCCTTCCATCAACGTACAATGGTTTCACATCCATATTTCAGTTCATCAGACTCACGTCAGGTTGCGTGGTAATAAATTTCAAACAGATCTTTTCAACTTCACCATTTCACAAACGGCGTACCGGATTAAGTATCTGGGCATCTTTATCGGGCCCGTGTAGTGGGGTTGAGGCTGCGGAAATTGACTAAAATTAGTGGCGTTCGTATCGCGACAACGGTAGCCAAGCCACGTCCAAGCTGACGTTCCGTTCCCCTTACAGCCAGCAATCCTGCGCCGCTCTCTCAGACAGAATTAAATACAACAATAACCCCTCCAACCTGGAGTTCTTCTCTCTTGCTTTTTGGTTGTGCTTTCGCAAACGTGTTTCTCATTGCAGCAAACGATTGAACCGCCCAATGCGCCTGTTGCCAACTTTATAATCGAGTATAAGGGGCGTGATTCTGGACACGCGAGCAGCCTCGAGAAGGATCACTGTTAGGGGTAGATAGGGAAGATGCCAGCGGCTGCACAATGGACGGGCAAGCCGTCTGTCAAGGGCTCGACAGAGTCGATACGAATGGCACTGCTCACCGCATCCTTGATCGGGTTACAGTACGTTCTCCCTTTTGTAGGACGGCTCTGAGGCGTTGACACTTTGCGTAGATTCACATGGGGCGTTGAGATGACCTACTGCACACCGTACCTCCTCGAACTCGGCCTTACGAAATCCAAGATCTCGCTCGTTTGGATCGCCGGCCCGCTGTCGGGCCTTATCATGCAGCCTATTGTCGGTGTCATTGCGGATCGATCGAAGAGCCGTTGGGGGCGACGAAGACCGTTCATGGTTGGTGGGACGATTGCTGTGTCGGCGTGTCTGCTTGTGTTGGGTTGGACGAGGGAAATTGTAAAGGTGTTCTTGACGGAGGAGACGGTCAGGGAGGCTACGATTGCCCTTGCTGTGCTGAGTATCTATGGCATTGACTTTGCGATCAACGCCGTCCAGGCGAGCTGTAGAGGGTTGATTGTGGATACTCTACCTATCCCAAAACAACAGATGGGCAGTAGTTGGGCGAGTCGAATGGTGGCTGTTGGACATTTGATCGGATACGGAGCCGGCGCAATGGATTTGGGGAAAGTTTTTGGACCAATGCTAGGAGACTCGCAGTTTAAGCAGTTGACAGCAGTGGCAGCTATCACACTCTGCTTGACTGTGGGGATCACCAGTTGGGCAACTACGGAGAGGGTGTTGATCAGTGACGGGAAGGATGAAGAGGGCGAGATCGGCGCAATTGATATGCTGAAGACCATCCTGAAAACAGCTACGAACCTCCCAACCGGGATTGCTGCAATCTGCTTTGTCCAATTCTGGGCTTGGATAGGTAAGTCTTCTGAAAGAACCTCCAGGAATCTAATCTAATATACATCATAGGATGGTTTCCCTTCCTATTCTATTCTACCACCTGGGTTGGCGAAATCTATCTACGCTACGACGCCCCTGCAGAAGCCAAGGCGTCCGGCGATCTAACGGGGCAGGTCGGCCGCATCGGTAGCTTGTCACTGATTGCGTTCTCCGTGATTACCTTCCTCATGTCTGTCATGCTCCCTTGGTTTGTAAAGTCGCCGGAAGAAGAGGCCCCGGGATTTACTCCTCGCCCTCCCGCGAGCATTGCCTCGTTTGTGATTGAGGTAGAGAAGTATAAGCCGTCTCTGCTCACCATGTGGACGATCTCGCACTGCATATTTGCGGGATCGATGATCATGGCCCCGTTTGTCACGTCCCTGCGGAGTGCGACTATTATTGTGGCTGTTTGCGGAATGTGAGAACATCGTACTCCCTTCTATGGCCGAACGCTAACGTTGTGCAGTTCGTGGGCTATCAGCTGCTGGGCACCTTTTACTTTCCTCGGCGTAGAAATCAACCGTCTGTCCGGGACAAGCAACCACTCCTACGGCCAGATTGGTCGAAGCTCGATGGAACTCGAGTCTCCTGTGCAGCTCCATCTGAACCACATTGAGGAGTCTCACAGTTCGGGCGGAGCAGGCTCAGGCATCTATCTCGGCATCATGAACCTCTACACCACGCTCCCTCAATTCGTCGGAACGTTTATATCTTGGACAGTATTTTCCATTTTGGAGCCGGGTAAGAGCCCGGAGCTAGCGAAGGAGGCTCATCCCGACGAGCACCATTCGACCGACGGGCCGAATGGCATCGCTGTGTGCCTGTTCATCGGGGCGCTTTCGGCGGGCGTGGCGGCCGTTGCTACAAGACGCCTTAAGCGCATCCAGGGGTACTAAGGCATCGGAGCACCTGCGCGCCAGATTTTGAATTTGACTGACGTCTCAACGTTTGTTTACTGAAAGACATTCACCTTCTATTTTTGGAGCCAGGACAGGGGCGAGGGGGCGACAGGCGACGGCGGCGTTGACGAATTTTCTTAGAGCGTTCCCAGCTTTGTTCTAGAAGGAAGGCGTGGCCCAGGACGGGCTTGCCGCATTGGCGTTCGATACCACCATAGATATCTGATAGAGAATACGGCTCCGTAGCTGCACTGCAGATTCATAAATTTAGAGACCCATAGATTCGGTGGCTGCAGTTGAGTCAGGAGGAGATGCGGCAGTGAGTGATGTGTCGAGGCTGCTGTTGGCACTGGGAGCAGCGGCGTCGTGGAAGCGCCTGGATGGAAACACGTGCAAGCAGGACCAACTGGGGGGCAGACCGCGCAAGCAAAGGAAGAAAAAACAGCGGTAGGGCGATTCAAGGCCAGACTTTCGCCCGCGCCCGACACACTTGGCCTGAGTCCTCCTGCCTCGCCGCTTGACGAACGGAGCATTGTCTTGCGCGCAGTTGCTACCACCTAGCTATCGTTCTTCCACGGCGGGACCACTTTTCTGCACCGTTTACATCAGAGGTCTGCGCATCAGCGACCTGGGCTAGCCCGAACCGAGTTACATAGAGGGGCGAGCAGCTAGCGCAACTTCCCTCGCTCAACCGACGAACATTCTCTGCTGTCTTGAACGCTTGGGGCTTACCAACAACCAACATCTCTCCTCAACAACCCTCACACCCGCCCTCTACACCACTATCCCACCGCCAACATGTCCGAACCCATTCGCAATAAGAAGCTAGACTCCATGACTGCTCCGTAGGTTCTCTCTACCCCATAGCACATAATTTTTTGATCCCGCACTATGATCGTAGCAAACGCCGCATTCGAGGTTGCTAACGGCTCCTTTCCCACCATCAGAACACCGCAGAACACGCCCGCAAATGCCGCTCCTATATCGTCTCGCGCTCAGCAGCCCGGTGTGGCAAGTATCAAGGAGGGTGAGTCGCCAATTTCCACTGCCTCCCCTCAACCCCGCCATAATTCCGTTTTCCGTGAGCTTGACCGCTAATTTGTAAATTTCTGCACACAGAGGAAATGGAGCGCGCTGCTGCCGGGCTCTTCGCTGCAAACCCCGCCCTCGTCTCTATGATGCAGGCCAAACTCGGTACTTTGGTTGGCCGTCCAAGCGGCTACATTGAGTCCCTCCCCGCCTCGGTTCGTCGTCGCGTTGCCGGCCTGAAGGGCATCCAGAAGGACCACTCCAAGCTCGAGGCCGAGTTCCAGGAGGAGGTCTTGCAGTTGGAGAAGAAGTACTTCGCCAAGTTCACACCGCTCTACGAGACTCGTGCGAAGATCGTCAACGGAGCCAGCGAGCCTACCGAGGAACAGGTCAAGGTCGGCGAGACTAAGGACGAGGATGATGATGATGAGGAGGAGGCTCCAAAGGAAGAAGTCAACGAGGATGCTGGCACCAATGTCAAGGGTATCCCAGAGTTCTGGCTGAGCGCCATGAAGAATCAGATCTCACTCGCAGAGATGATCACCGACCGGGACGAGGGCGCACTCAAACATCTCACCGACATCCGGATGGAGTACCTCGACCGACCGGGTTTCCGCCTCATCTTTGAGTTCGAGGACAATGAGCACTTCACCAACAAGACCATCACCAAGACATACTTCTACCAAGAGGAGAATGGCTACGGTGGTGATTTTATCTACGACCATGCCGAGGGTGACAAGATCAACTGGAAAGAGGGCAAAGACCTGACCGTGCGCGTTGAGAGCAAGAAGCAGCGGAACAAGAGTATGTTATGGCTTCCCAAAGCTAGCAAATACCGTCCTGACTGTTTCTAGACACTAAGCAGACCCGGATCGTCAAGAAGACCGTCCCGACCGAGTCCTTCTTTAATTTCTTCGACCCGCCTAAGCCCCCGACTGACGAGGATGACGCGACCTCGGACATCGAGGAGCGTCTCGAGCTCGATTACCAGCTGGGTGAGGACATCAAGGAGAAGCTTATCCCGCGCGCAATCGACTGGTTCACCGGCGAGGCTCTTCAATACGAGAATATTGAAGACTTCGATGAGGGTGAGTTTGAGGATGAGGACGATGAGGAGGATGACGACCTCAGCGATGACCGGGATGAGGACGAGGAGTCGGATGAAGAGGTATCTTTAACCACCCGGTCGACAATATTTTATTGCATATCTGACTCTGAGCTAGAACGATGGCACAAAACCAAAGCAGGAGGCTGCTGAGTGCAAGCAGAGCTGATTTAGTTCACCTCACTTTCACTGTGGCTGGAGATTGATGGCTAGAGGGCATTCGGCTTTTTCGTTTCGATCTAGATGCCGGCATCATGATACATTCGGTGGCTGCATGGCCGTCAGGTGTTGAATCCACTCTGAATTTGTTCCCTTTGTTCCCTCTATCTCATCCCACCCCACCCCCACGCGAACAACGCTGATTGTCTTTTGCACCATGGCGTAATAGTTCATCCACCATACGAGGCGAGGCCGGCTAGTTATCCCACAAACACAAATCACTTGGTTTTTTTTTTCCCTTTCCCCCTTGTCTTGAGCATCTCTGGGTCATTCTCGACACACATCACATCACATCAGAAACACGTCACAGCACACTCAACACACAATCGCATATATGACGGTGAGCTTCATTTGGGTTGGCGCAATGCGAATAGGGTTTCTTGTCGATTATGGTTCCGTCTTGAGTCTGCGGTTTCCCTTTTCTCAACCCTTGCTTTAGCAAAGACCGGCGGCTATCTGTACTTGATGGATAACGAATTGTGGCAGGCGGAATTCGGGGGATTGGGGTTTAGCGTGTTTCTCTAATTTGTTCATCTCCTTTTCGAGATCCTTCGCAAAAGTTTGGGGTTCTTGATGGATGGATGGATGGCTGGCTGGATGGCTGGCTAGCGGAATGGTACGGATGGGCAGACAGACTAGATCAGGAACACCTCCTCGCGATTAAACTAGACAAAGCCATGCTCTCCCTCTCCCCGTAGTGATGGTTAGTGTGGGAGCTGCACGCGCGTATCCGTGTCAGCCGGCGGACTGGAAGATGATTTTCCCAGGCTTGAGGTCATGGGATATGGAACTTACCCAGGTATTCCGTTACTCGTGACTCTTTATTGCCACTGGATTAATAGCCCACCAAATCGGGTTTCCAGAACTCCTAGCTTAGTGGCCGCCAGGTCTGGGGGTTAATGTGGGTGGATAGATTAGGGATGGTGGCGTGAGAGGAGCGCACGGGAGCTTGCGATGGTGTGGCGCAGGCGCGGGGCTCGGGATTTCTTAGGTGGGGGGGCGGAGAGTGTGGGGGGAAATTTTTCGAGTTTGGGATGAGGAAGGAACTCGAAATTCGATTTTCAGAGCGCGACTGGAATTTTTGTTCATTTTTCTCCGCTTTCGTGACTCCTTCCTACATAGAAAACTATAAGGTATCCAAACCGCACACACAAAACTTTGTCGAATGAACGAATGAACGAACGGCCGGCTCGAAATTAACTTCGCACAGCAGGTCTCCAGCTACCTCTAGCACCACTCACCCACGTAGGCCGACCTATCCTCTGTTCCTCCCAGTGCGCTCCTTAAAAGCACCTACACACATTCCTCCCGCAGCCTTTCAATCTCACAATGGCGCGGAAGAACCCGAACATCGTTGTGACAGGTACACCTGGGGTTGGGAAGACCACGCATTGCGAGTTATTGGCCAGAAATCTGGGGTTCAAGCATTTGAGCGTGAATCAAATTGTCAAGGATGAGGAGTTTCATGAGGGCAGAGATGACGAGACGGGGAGTTGGATTGTGGATGAAGACAAAGTATGTTTCATTCATCTCACGTTGTTTCGCTCTGAGAATATAGGGTTGGGGTGGGCTGTTCAAGATCCAGACCGGATGATAAGTTTCGGAAAATCGTTGTTTGGCTGGATAAAGTGTTGCAAAACATTCATGAAGAGAAATTGAAAATACTTAACAGATAAACTGATACCCTATCCCAGCTCCTCGACTACATAGAAGCACTGTCCATCTCCTCCACCGGCGGCTACATCCTGGACTGGCACGCCTGCGACCTCTTCCCCGAGCGCTGGATCGATCTCGTCGTCGTCTTGCGCTGCGATTCTACAACCCTGTATGACAGACTCACTGCGCGGGGTTACAAGGGTAAGAAGTTGGAGGAGAATATGGATAGTGAGATTATGCAGGTTTTATTGGAAGAGGCGAGGGAGAGTTATGCGGAGGAGGTGGTAGTCGAGTTAAGGAGTGATGGGGTGGAGGATGTTGAGAGGAACTGTGAGAGGGTGGAGGGTTGGGTGGAGATGTGGAGGAAGGATAGGGAGGGGGGAGGGAAGGAGGAGGGGCAGTGAGGGTTGGGTGTGTGTGTGTGCGTGTGTGGCAGGCAGGCGTTGCGGAAACAAATATCAGGCGGGAATTTGATGTAAAAGTATGCATGTGTGGTAATTTTTGGTGTGTGTCTAGGTATGTCTACGAATTTCCTCCCTCTATCAGCGGTTCATTATATAATAGCTAGCTGGGTACATGCCAGGGGAAAAACGCGTCAGGCTACGAGCAAACCTACGCCCCCAGCAGTCCAACCTATTCCTCAACCCTCCTCGCTAACCACTCCTTCAACCCTTGCAATGCCTTCCCACGGTGCGAAATTTTATTTTTCTCGCTCTTGTCCATCTCAGCATACGTCTGTCCCTCGTATTCGAAACACGAGTCCCAGCCTGTGCCATCTCATTAGCAACCAACCCTCAACCATGCAAACTTTCAAACATTTCTTCTCTCGTCTTGAAGATTTCAAAGGGCATTGACTTACCAAACACAGTAGGACCGCGACTTGCGACTAATTTCCCGTCCGTCTTGCCTTGGAATAGAACGGGCTCGTGGCCAGGACCTTCACAATAGGCGAATGTACAGACGGCCGTGGCGGATTTGTCGGGGAAGCCGGAGAGCATTCTGTCAAGGTTTAGCGGGCCGAGGGCGAGCATGAACCATTTGCTGGGAGGAAAGTTAGTTTGAGTGGATGCGAATGCATTAAGAAGGAGGAGTGTGTAAGTAGCGGGGGAGAGGGGTGGGAGGACTTACATATATGGCCCTGGTAGGTCGTTCATCGCTTTGAAACAGAGACATGTGTCTTCTACTAGGACAGGTCCTTGGATCTGTTCTTAAAAAGTCAGATTACTCAATAAAATTATTTCCATATTTTAAAAGGAATATTCCCGATCCCACGTATTCTCAACTCATGCGAGAAAATTTTACTAACAGCTTCAGCCGCCCTTCGACACTTATCCCTCGTAACCTCCTCGATCGTTCCCTGAATCTCAACAAGATCTACATTTTGACTTCGTAATTCAATCACGCCTTCAAGAATCGCTTGCACTTCTGCAAGCTTATTCTTGTTCCCCGTGATGAAGTTCAAGTGCTTAGGCACTGTTAGTTCAGGCGCCATGTTAACGTATTTTAGAGTCTGAATGAAGTTTGAAGAGAAGAACGGCGCTAATAGTCCTCTTGATGGGGCCTGTTGGTCGCGGTTGGTGGATTGGTAGGGATGTTGTTGGAGGCGCTGATGCAGAGCTTGTTGGGCAGGGGGTTGTGGCTGTGGGAAACTTTGGAGGTGGAGTTGAGTTTCCGTTTGGGCTTGTTCGACCGGTATGCCGGGGTATTGTAATGTCGCCTGGTGGCTATTATCCAGCTGTTGAGGATTGAGATTTTGGTGTTGTCGTTGATTTGGATACTCCATGGCCGTGCATTGAGGTTGGTCTTGATATAGACGAATGAGGTAACTCGTTCCGCGCTTTGATAATCTAATCGGCGATTTGATAAGCGTGTTTGCGAGGACAGTTTTGTTGCGGAATTTTCGACCAGCCTTGCAGCATGTGTGCTCTAGTGGAGGCTGAAAGGAACTGCAGCGATTGGATCGGAGGAAGCGAGGACAGGGCTGAGGTTACAACACAGGGCAAGGTCGAGCTGAATAGTTATCAATCCCCACGCACTTTCATCTCGTCGGCGTGCGCTGCAATCACAAAATTTCGCAGTCTGTTAACGCGAGGGCGGGGTTATTTTAAGGAACAGGAACTGCCGCCTAGTCAGAAAGAAGTTTAGAAAGGGCTCTCGCGGCTTCTAGCGCCCTTCTCGAATGCTACCGTGCCCTTTTTCACCCCCCCCCCCCCCCCAACTTCGACAACCACATCGCCGAAATCTAGGCTCAGCTGCAGCAGGAGTTTGCGAAGGATCGAGATACGAATGCAGGGACACAGCCCTATAGCTTGATTCTATCGAGGTCATTCGATTGAGTGGAATACCTTGCCTAAACAAGAGCCTGCCCCGCGGTGCTAGTTCGCCGACGTCTTTGGAAATATTCAACTCTTCATTTCGGCAGACCAGGGCTATCAAGGGAACATGATGGTGTCGGCCCGGGGTCTTCTCTTAGGTGTTTATACCTCCAACAGCCTTATAATGCTGTTGTTTCTCCCACTATGCTATCTCATCCTTCTGAGTCCGTTCATTTCGTTGTGCATCTGGAAATTCGACTTGGATCAAAAGCTTCTTCAGTTTGTCCCAACGGACTACAAGACCCCGGATATTTGGCCACAGGTTTTTATTTCGCTTGTTGGGATCTTGCTAGCGACAAGATATATCTCAGGAAAGAGTGATGGCGATGAAAAAAATGAAGGGAAGAGGAGGGTACAACTCCTTCCATACTGGGTTCTGGGAGTGAGGCATTGGTGTAATGCTGTTTTTGGGGGAGAAAGTTGGTTGAGGAGAGTTGCGTAGGGTTTGAGTCTAATCGTCAGGTCGAAGGCTTGTGCTGACTGTTAACTAGGGACTCAACAATCTCCAGTATCTTCGCCTACAGTATGGCGGGATCGAAACACAATGTCATTCTCTCGACTTCGCTGTTTGATCAGCTTGTCAAGAAGGCAGATGTTCTGGAAGAGTCGGAATTGGATCAGTGGATCGTGCTCCAGAACACATGCAATATGCCCAAGAACATGAGAGAACAGTACCTTCAGATCAGACCCAGCATTTCAAAGACGCTCGATGCTGAGATTTTCTCGGGGAAGCAGATGAAGCAGCTCATTTCGGCCTCTCTATCTATCCTGTCAGACTCTCTACCCGATCTCATCACCTTTAATTCTTCTATTGTCGATCAGATGGCTTGGGAACGAGTTGCAAACCTAGACCTAACTGACGGTACTGTTGAGGTTGAATGCGAGTTGTTCGCTTTGATCAACGAATTTTTTTGCAACGCCATCCTCCCTCCAATCACTGGCTCATCATTTCCGGAATCATATCAGCTCTTAGCGACTGATTTGGCCACCTTCAATCAATCATTCTTCGGGCTTGCTATGGGATTCCCGAGGTTCTTCCCTATGCCAGGATTACCAACGGCGAGTTTGGCGAGGAAAAGACTATTTCAGAATCTAGTTCGATTCTTGAATGACCTTACGGATCCTCCGGTGAAGAGAACCATTCCTGATGACGAGAGTCTGAGTGGAGAAGAGGAGATGGATGCAGAGACACCGACACCGCTTTCTGCTTTGAATGATATATTCTCCCAGCATGATTTACCGATCCCAGCGCGTGCTGCGATAGCACTTAAAGTGTTACACGAGGTCGTCTCGGAAGCAGTGCCTCTGGCATTTTGGACATTGTTACACATTTATTCTGCCTCGACACCATCATCGACCAAGACGGAGGCCCAAGGCAGCGAGCCAACACCTTTGGATCTTATAAGGGAAGAGACAAAGGGCTGGGCTGAAGCAATCCAGCCACCGTCGATCCACCCTTCCTTCCCTGCACCACCAGAAATATCGTATGCATCTCACACTCAGCTACTCTCCATCTCCTCATTACCGTTCCTCCGATCCTGTATCAGTGAATCCCGCCGTTTCTATACCGCCTCTCTCACCACTGCCAAAGTCACAAAGCCAGCCCACCTCTACGAACCTGAAGCCACTCGGCCTGGGGTGCTGGAACAATGGGAACTAGACGTTGGATCCTACATCGACGTTGGAATCTCCCAAACCCTTATCAACACATCATCCGCCAATTATCTGACGCCTCGGCAATTCAAACATGACCGCTTCCTGAATTCTAACTCGCCGCCTCCTGGTATCTCGTCGCCTTTTAGTCCCTCTACGGAACTTACAGAAGCCCTCTTGATGTCACTTGTAGCAGGTGTAGTCCAACTCTGGGATATATCTGCGGCGCCAAAGAAGACGATTTTCGAACACATGCAGGCTGCTCAGGCTGCTGCTTCAGGGCAAGAAGAACCAAAAACTGAGAAGAAAGTTGGAGTTTGGATGGTACCAAAGGCTGTTGATGGAGCGAGTGTTAAAATCCCGCAGGGAGAGATTAGGGTGAGGATTAGGAGAAGAGAGGGCCTTGATGGACCGTCGCGTTGAGGAAGGGGAGGTGAATGGGGGTGGAGCGGAGTGGAATAAGTGGGGAAGCCAAGTGGAGGCAGGGCGTAAATGCAGAAGTGAACCTCAGGAAGAGCGAGCTAGGAGCTCAGACTAAAGCAGTGGGTATCGGGCATTTGGATGCGCATTGTGGCAATCTTAAGTTTAGTAGGTCTGAGTGTGGGTGATTAGTGGTAACTGTGGCTGGGACTCAACCATGGTTCAAGACAACTCAACACATGAAGCTAAAGATAGGGAAGATGCAGGGAGATTTAGGGGACCCACACTTCTGAATTCACGCAGACGAATTATCATCTAGAGAGGAATATACGGACTTTGGTGATGAATCTATCCAGCTACGTTTACACCCACCTAACAAACATCACAAATCCTCCCACAAACTACCCTATTCATTAAACGCATCAAATCTAGTCCTCCATCCCCTATCCCTAGCCCCATTTCCCACCTCCTAACATAGACTCGCGTGCCCACCTCAAACTCGCCGTTTACTACGTCAGAAGAGCGGTGAACCCATCCCAACTTGCCAAAGTAACCAGCTTCAATACACACACCACTTCTGCATCCGCGCCTTCCCCGCCCGCCTCAACATCTCCACTCTGTGAGGAGAGGAGAGGACTCCGCAGCAACGTCCCGAATAGCGAAGCCTAAGGTAATCTCTAGTTTTAGCGGAGAGGGGAAGCCCGCCGTAGAAGCACCGGCGCTACCGTCGTAGATCAACTTCCCCGACCGGTCAATCACGAAGTGGTGATAGCCACCAAACCATGATTTTCATGACAGCCAGCCAAAATCTGGAGCCGGAGTCTGGCGTCCGTCATCCGGTCCAGAGATAGGAGTTGGATAGCTTCTTGCCGTTTCGCTCGCTTGCAATCTCGTTCCACACCGCTGAAATCATCTGGTGGATATGGTTACGAGTCAAGACACCGACTTGTTGAACTCATTCAGGTCCACAGGCTAAAGTGGTATGCGTGCCTGCAGCGTTCCTGACATGACAACACATCATAACACAACACTTTGGCTTGATTTCACGATTCGATTCTGGCTTGACTTAGAGATGCAATGGCAGATTCCTGCATGCAGCTGGAATGCATCTTCAGCTGATGTGCGTGTGGTATACGACAGGGGTCTAAATCAGGAAATTGTCGTCTTGTCTTCTTTAGCTCTCGCGAGGAAGTGGTTGTGTTGGTGTCGGCACACTCCGACAAGGCTGAGCGGAGCTGCACAATTCCTGACAGCGTCAAACCCTTCAATAAACACCATTAGACAAGGAAACCCTGAATCCAAACCCAGCCCCATTACCTCTCTTACCCAGTAACAACAACTTCGCGAGAAATTCAGCATGTCAAAGCACTGCACTGCAATGCACTTTCACCCCGCAAATTTGTACCACAGCCCTACGTCTTCCCAACCAGGCCATCCTTAACCCTTGAACCTGGTAACCAAACTAGGCAGACTGTACGTAAGACGATGCAACTCCACTCCATCCAGGATCGTGAGAAGCAAACGATGATCTGTGATCTGTGAGGAACGCTGTTGCGAAAGACTTGTGGGTAGCAGCGGCACAAGACAAACATCGATCATTTACGACCCTATAGTTCACCCGGAGATTCGGGAATGCTTAGAGACGCGTTGCCTTGGGCAAGGGTTGCTTTGGGCAAGGATCAAACTTGGTAGGGAAAAATGATTAGTGAGGCAGGTTGGTGGGCACAAGGATGCTTTGTCTTGAGGCAAGGGAGACACAAGGAAAGGATACGGAGAGGGGTCTGCAGACGCGTCTGAACCAGCTGTGGATTAGCGCGAAGGGCAAGGTGACAAGAATGCAGATATGCGTGAGGTTACTGAGAATGGAAAGTGTCGATGGTGCTATGATACCAGAATGCTGCTTAATCTAACCATGGGCGATGCAGTGTGCATACTAGTAGACCCTAGCTCGCGCTTCAGAGTGTTGAGAACAGAGTATCTGGGGAAACGTGGCGATTAAGCCCAAGTGGTTGTCAATTCATTCCAATGTTTGCACTTTTCCGCACCACGACATGAATACCTAGACGTGGACGTTTGAACCTATATGCATCGTCACAGCCATCAAGACGCATTAAGGGCTATGCTTATCCATTCATTTGTAAACATAACACCTTTTGGATGCCCATATCATGTCGAAGAAAGTCGAAAAGAACCAGAACCCCAGCCAATTCAACCGTGTCCGTCTAAACGTTCTCGAGGACCTGCTCCTTGAACTCCCGTTCGATCTAAGCATAGTTATTAGCATTTGTGTGCATCGAGAATGGTAACAGCAGCTGCTCACCTTCTGTCCCTGGTCATCAGCGCTTGACTCGCCATGGAGACCAAGAAGAGCACCCAAGTCAAACTTTGGTGCCTTGAGGAGCTTGACCTTTCGCACGTGGACCTGAGCTGATTTAGCAGGGTTCATGCAAGTCATATATGTACCAGCATACGTTCTGAAGGGGGTAGATGCCCTGAGCAGCCTTCTCGATTTCACGACCAATGACTTCTGGAATGAGCTTCTGTGTTAACTGTGCCAATGTGCACGAGCTAGCCTCCCGTGTCATGATCTCCGTCATCTTCTTCCGGATCGACCTAATCTGGGACGAAGCAGCGTACGTCGTCTTCTTGATCTGGTTCGGCCTCCGCTTGGTGAAAGCGATGGCGAAGAGGCGGAGGAGGTAGTCATCGGTAGTCTTGACAACAACGTTGGCCTCGATGAGGGTTTGCCATTTGCGGACGAGCGAGCGGAGCTTGTCGGAGGTGAAGTCGAGGCCGTGGAAGTTGGTCAGGCAGTTCTTGCCCTGGACCTCGTCGACTCGCAGCTTGACTTTGCGGAAGGCATGGTCTTCGTCTTTCTGGAGATCGGCGAGCGAGACTTCGAATATCCGGCCCTTGAGGGCATCATTTGCGTTTTTCAGACCCGTGGTTCGGTTGACGAGGGTTTTGCCGACACTGCGAGAGGATTCTTGTTAGAATGCAGCCTATTGCGACGAATCTGTGAAGATAATTGAGGTGGGGGCTCTTACTCGCGGATCTGGAAAGTTCCTGGGGCCTTGACGTTGTACCAGTCTTTCTTCGCGAAGGTGTCGGTCTTCTTCTTAAGACCCTTTTTTCCCTTGGAAAGGCGCTTGTTCTTGCCGACAGCCATGATTGCGACGTGGGTGTTGAGGCGTCGCTGGTCGAGGGCGTGAGATGTCGTCGGAGGTCAAATTCGAAATTGGTGCAGGTGTGGATTTCCTCGCTTGAGAGCACGGTCCACTACATCACGTGTTCGGTAAAATCTCGGCGAAGGATCTTCCCCAACGATCACAACAATGTCTTGGCTTCAACACGATGGATACACTTGACGAAGGCATGCATCGCACGTGATTGTTTCTAATCTGCTTGTTCATACATCATTCATTACTATGGTATCACACGTGATGCCCGCTGAACGCTAGATGGAGCACGCTTTTCCCTCCTCCAAGAACGCCCTATGAGGACACGCCCCTCTATTCCTTCATTCCTATCCCGAACGACTTCGCCGCTCTCACGCGACTGCTGTTCATCCTTTGACAGGCACGGCAACTGGACATAGTCCTGCCCCTGAGCCTTGCAGATGCCCCACGCAGGATGGATGCTCCAGCCTCGACGTCGTTCAATGACGTTGACGTTGCCTTCACCTGACGCTTTCCAGGAGCCAGCGCAGTTCCTTCGTCCAGTTCTACTCGACGAGATGTGTCTTAGCCTCCTTTATGCGCTCGCAGTCACTTGATAGCTGCGCCTCTCGCTCTCGGTGGAATGTTGCCCCAACGGCGGCTGCCTTCTCGGAAACATGGTGTAGCCTTCCCTAGCAGGAATCGTGGAGTGGTACGGTAGGTTTTGGGTATTTTTATAATAGCGCCTTTCTTTTGCTCTTCCTCATTCATTCACCACTTCCGTCCGGAACCAGCTCTGCCGTCATGTCTTGACAGCTGTATGCTCTCGATGTTGGCTTTCGTATGGGTTCTGAGTTGCACAGAACTTCTCAAAGTCAGGAAAGCTGATGTATCCGTCTGGAAGAGTGTCAGCTTCGGTGGAATTCAAGCTGGTGTTGGGCCTGAGTGCTGCCTACCCTGTTTCTTGTACTGCCTGACGTATCGAGCACTCTCACTTCTCCAAACAGCTGGTCTCTCCGGGGTGTACAGTGGACTCGAGTGTGTTTCAGTAGGTCTTGATGATGCTATTGGACTTGATACTGGAGTCTCTCCCTTTGGAGACGTAGGATGAGAGGCGACCTTTGCGAGAAGGGCCGAAGCCTTGGTGGGACTTCCTGAGCCAGAGTCTCTTCGAGTTGCTACTGGAGCATGGGTTGTGAGGCAAGGCGAGGAGACGGTTGATGGGGTCAGAGGCGGTCGACGGCTGCCTGATCTGGAGTGTTGAGGTGCTTGTGTAGGAAGCGAGACGTAGTACTTGTTGTTTGCCATATTGAATACCGAATGCCAATGTTGATTCTCTTTGGGCTATTGAATTGAATGTATGTGTGCGTAGGAAGTGAACTGACAAGAACAGCAGAGGACATAGAAGAGGTAGTAGTAATAATGACCTCCGCGCCGGCGCCCGGACGCCATTCACCCCAGACTTCCACATCCGGAAACGCCTCTGCAAAAGCCCTCAGGCCAGGAACCCCCTGTCGGTGGGCGCTGCATAAGCAGCCGGGGCCTGCCTCCCCACTTGGACGTCTTGGACTTCCTTCGAGGCCCATGTTGCATGCGAAAATGCACGCCGCCAAAAAAACGTGGACCGTTTAAAAAACACGCAGGTCGCCAGCTGCGCTGTCATCCGTTCATACGCCTGACTCGCCCTCAGCCGACCACACACGACCACTTCAGTCTCTTTGTTGCGGCCCTCGCTCTGCTGCAGGCGTGAGCTGGCCACGGCAGAAACCAGGAAAATAGCAAAAACAGCCACCGCGCTCACAGCCAGAGTCATCAGTGCACTAAAGCGCCCTGAAATGGCCTTTGTATCCAGCGAATCTGGGAAAGGTGGCAGGATGGTGGCAAGACACCCCTGATTGGCAAAGCCCTCGTTCTTCGGGAGTGCGGGTTCCAATGCGGCGGGGTCACGCCTGGCAATCGTCGAATCGACGGTTGGAGGCTGCATTCAACAAATGCATCCGTCATGGATGCGAAGCCACAGCCTTCCCTGGAATCCCTTCAGGTCCTGGAAGTTGGCGGGAGTGACCCGGACGAGAGTGGGGAACTTGGGATGCCTCCTGCTGCCCTTATCCTTTATCGATAGGGTGCAGCATCGCTTGTGCGACTGAGATGGGATGATGTCTGCGAGCCTCCTTTCATCCACAGATTCTTCCCATTCGCCGTTGCGTCGAAGGCTTCCATCTGGCGGGTATGTCTCTGCCTGCATGTTTTCGGTACTTACATTCACAACCCTCCAGCTCCATCCCATCCCGACCGGCAACGAGTAACCTCGGATCAAGCTTACCAAAATTTCAGCCAGGAACTCTCCCGCTCGTCATCTATCACTGCCGTCTCACGCCCTCCGGACCACCCTTCAATCTGACTTCGGCTTTCGAGCCTTCGTGCATCGGTTCTTGCAACGATTAAGCGATGGCCACGTACCGGGCGGGACTGTCCGCCCCTCCCTCACGAGTAGAAGACTCTCCCGACTTATCTCAACCCTCTTCCGTCTCACCATCTCATCATCACTCGCGGCTTTAATACTAACCAGTACGAAACACTTAACGCGCTTTGTGCAGCTCTGACTCGTGACTTGCCTCACTATGAGCCCCACATAGCCTTGCAAGGTATCCTGAGGCCTGGCTCGTGATATTTCATAGTGTTACTCCTCTCCTCAGCTCTCATGCTCACTGAGCGGGGCGGAAGGCAAGGCTACATTTTCTGCCTCACATCTATTCCACAAACTCCATACGCCGCATTACGAATTCAATCCTTCTACTCGGCTCCACATACCACGCACTAACCGATAGACCATCCACATCCTCGCTCCTCTCTAATTAAGTTCTACTCGACCGACAACAATGCCTGTACGGTACATGGAGGTATTTGCACATCCAGTGTGCGTGCCGGATGCAGGAGCCCGAGAGCTAAACTAGAATATGCCATGCTGCCCAGTCGATGAGAGCTTCTAATGTATTCCCATGTATCTGGACCTGTGCAGCGGTTAAGGTTATCTTGGAGCAGATAGACCGACAACCGCCGAGCTGACGCTCCTAGAACGCCTACCCTCCTTCCATGCGTCCCAGCGCTCCATCCCTCCCAGACATTCCGTCCTTTACAATTCGTATTATTATTATTGATGGCGTCCATTTCCGCCCTCAACACCGATATCTCCTTAGCACCATCAACAAACACGTACGTAAATATGCAGTGCAACCAACCTGTCACCCCAACACTACATCTAGTACACCCACATCATCATCCTTAGCATCCTCAAAACCCCTCGGCCCCTCAGCCCCTCAACCCCTCCCCAGCCCTAGCTTGCTCACTCTTCTCGCCTTTCCCTCAGCACAGCAGCCTAAGAAAAAAAATCCCCGCAGCTGTCGCAAAAAGATGCGACTGATGTCCAGACAAACACCGCAGATCCGGATGCCGATCCTAGGAAGTAATCAACGCCGATCCCACCCGAAATGAGAAAATCATTTCTCTCTACCGAATGTAAATCCAGCGGCTGGCAGGCATTAGCAAGATTTGCGCCAGTATCTAGACTGGATTAGACCACACGCGCAGAGAAGGGTGCTCTCGAGCAGGGTAGGGGAGAGACATTGTGGACTCCGCTTGAGGGAGTCCGAAGCAGTTCAGTCCACCCTCCGACTCGCTGCTCACGTGCACTGGAAAGCTAGCCAGCCTTAGACCTTTCGTACAAATACTATACATCCCGGATCTACACGCACACTAAAGTCCACCAGACATCCCTCCAACTATACATTTCCGGCCAAGATCCAGGCCAAGTCATGACCAGCCAGGCCAAGCGAGCCGCTCCGGTGCTCCTGAGAAGCCTAAGGGTTTGAAGAAGAACGTACTCCACACTATCATGTCATGCGACATCCCCAGACGTCTAAGGCGGGAATGTAGGCTTCTAAGGCTAAGTAAGCGGTAAGGCGGAGATATATCGCAAGGAGATGCTAGATATGCGTATGCCAGATGATGGATGACTGGATCTTTCTTCTACTTCTTCTGCTTCTTCTGCTGCCGCCGCCGCTGCTGTGTGAGTCGAGCTAAAGACGCAATGCAGCAGCAGGAGGGACGCGCTTCTGTGCAACGTGTGCTCACACGATGCTGCGGCTAAGCGTGAGAATGGGAACAGAGTTCGGAAATATGGGAGCATGACTTGAAAGCGAAGAATCAGGTGCGATGTGGAGAGTGAGCGAGCGTGGGACGACATTATCGTGGGGTAGGCAGGCAGGCAGGCAGCAGTATTTCGAGCGTGGGAGCTGGAGCTGGAGCTGAATAACTCCGGGAGTCTGAAATAGGACACTGCGTGTGGCATTACACCGGTCTCGTAAGTGGCGCATAGTTGAGTGGTCGAGTTGGCAGCTCTGCTCGGGACGAAGATGTCGCGGAAAAAGCAACCTTTTGATCCCCAAAACCTAAAAACCCACATAAATCACCGCGGGAAAGACAGATCAGTGGTTCATCTATCTTTTTTTTGCGTGCTCCAAATTGCTTCTTATCAGTCTGTCTGTTCCGTGGGATGTGGGTTGGCCCGCGGCTGAAGAGCGCCATACAAAATTATCGATGGAGTCGCCCAATACCAACCTGCAGATACATTCAGGCAGGAATCTCCCGTTCCTCCAGGCCATGTATTTGCATTACCGAGCGCAGCTTCGCAGCGACTCGTTCACTGGTGCGCGCAACGGCGTACAGCACAGAAATCATGCTTAAAAGAAGAGGCCCATCCAATTGCAAACAACAATTTCCTGTACCGAGCTCAGATGACCATTTTCCCTCCGTTCGTCGCCCTGTCGCCCCAATAACACCATCGCTCAATGCTATGATTGGAGTCAGCATTTCTTGAATCGCGCGAATAAAATCTGAGATAAGGGGCAGAGGTGGATGGCGTACGTCAATGTCCTCCCAGCCACGGCCTTTCACGTTCGATAGCTCCTCCATCGTCGGCACGTAGCCTGTCGTAACTGCGAGAATTTTCATCCGTCAGCGGTCTTAAGACACTCCATGCACGCCATAGAACTAGCTGTTAGGATGGGGTTGGTTGGCCCGCTGGAAGGTTAGGCTTCTGCAGTCGCAGAGAAAGACCACAACAGGAATGCTGATGCTGATCCTTCGGGGAGCAGAAAGAATGAATTAGTGGGATGACTGATGGCGGACTTACAGTAGCCGGCATGGATTTTGGCGTCGATCTCGACGCGGCTATCCTCCGGAATCATCTCTTCTGGAATCGGGACGCGTTCGTGGATCGGGATACCTTGCTCGACGATCGCGTCATGCTTCATGCTGCAACCCCCGTCAGTATGGGGATGGGTACAGTACGTCTAGGGTACAAAGGTAGGCGAGAAGCGGGGAAGAACAAACTGCTGCCAGCAGTGGATAATAGTAATTGCAGAGACGAGACTTACTTAGACATAGAGAGCATCCGGTCAATCTTGGTAATACCTAGCCAATGAAGAATCTGCGGTGGTGTGATGGTCAGTAATAGTTCGACAGGTATAAGATACAGGCGATTTCCAACACCCAATCCACCGTCCATACGGATGTGGGACAGATAGACTTACATCCGGCATTAGGGCTTGGAATCGCATGTCCTTGACTCCAGCAATATTCTCCGTGCGTTTGAAATACTCGCTGGCCCTGTCATCCCCTCTCTTCCTTGCATTGTATACGAGGTATTTAGTCACCTCACCCAGGGCTCGGCCTTCTTTGCGGAAATAGATGACGACGCCGCTGCCGCCTTTCTGGGCTTCCTTGACGGCCTCCTCGACGCCGAAAATGAGGTATGGTCGGCAGGTGCAGATATCAGATCCGAACACGTCGCTGCCGTTACACTCATCGTGAACGCGGAGGGCAAGGCGGACATTCGGATCAGCCATCTTTGCCGGATCACCGAAGATGTAGACAGTAAGACCACCAATTGGGGGTAGGAATAGTTTGATATCGTGACGGGTGATGAGTTCTGGATACGAGCCTCCGGTCTCTTCGAAAAGCGATCGACGGAGAGTGCCCTCATCTAAATCAATATCAGTTTATCCTTGCGCCAAACTTTCAACCCTTGGACCACTTACCAATACCAAACCTCTCAGCCACTCCAGGTAAGTACCATACGGGTTCCACGGCGACTTTCGTCACAGCAAGCTCTCCAGTCTCGTTCACGCAAATCTTGCCATCTGGTACGAGTCGGCCCTTTTGCACGCTGGTCTCCAACTCGGGAAGTTTCATGTGCGCTCGGGTGACGGCAATAGTTGGCCTGATTTCGATATCTTCTTTCTGTATTGTGTCCTTGAATAGCCAGGGAGCAAGATGGCCCAACGGATCCATAGCCACAATCTTCTTCTTGTCGCTCCATTGCGGGAATGGCCCGATGTTGGCTGCAGGTTCGGTGTTAGTGAAGTCTGGCTTGTGGTCGACATCGAGGTTCTTGCTAGCTACGGCAAGAGCATGGTAGATGGAATATGAGCCCCCATGAGCACCAATAGCTAAGATATGTCAGTGACGTTACAAAACACATATATCTATTAAATACTTACCATTACGCCGACGGATCGTACTAGGATGCCTCGACACCACAACTGGACCTCTCACGTTCGGATCCATATGACCCCAATCCATAGGCAAAGGGTCAACACCAGCTTGGCCAGGGTACGAGGTCAAAATGATCTTTGATATCTTTGCAGAGCTCGACCGACGAGGAGAAGTTTCAACATTGGCTGGCGGTTGATCATACTGTTGACTAACAGCTTCTACGGTCTTCTCAGACTCCACTTCCTTCACCTTCCCCGTGGGTGAGACGCCATTAGAACCTCCGCCCGCGGCTCCATCCTTTAACTGTTTGACTCCCGCCAACATGTTTACACGCCCGTTGATAGTGTCAACGGCAGATACAAGCTGGGTGTGGTCCTTCTGCAGCGTCCTCATCCCCTCCAGGATCTCTTTGAGAAGAGCATCACTTGAGCTTTCAGTAGACATGGATTGTTTGCAAAGCTTTCAAGCAAATGACAAAGAAACAACCCCGAAGCAATACGAATGCGTGAGATCTAAGGTGATTGCTCCGCCAGATTCCGCCACGAATGCAAGACAAAGCGCCGCTGGATGTCGATATGGATGAAAGTGGAGAAGCGCAATGATATGAGGTAAATGTGAAGGAGACAATGTAGGGGGAATTGCTGACGGCTGCTTGATTTATATGTGGGTGCAGGGGCCAGAAAACAGGTGAATAGAGGGGTTGAAGGTTAGAAGAGGGAAGGGGAACGACGGGCGGTGGAGAGTGATGGCTGACCTTGGGCGTGCCGATCGTTGATTGGTGCCGCTTATCGACGCTTTGGGCAGCTGCCAGGGCGGTGTGAAATCTTGGCATCGGAGCTCCCCATAGGTTCACTTGCATTCGCGTGTGTGCAGCTCCAGAACTTCAAAACCCATCGCATCAAGACTCGCATCGTCGTAAACCCACAACCCACCCAACTCTTCGCAAGCTCTTCACACTGCACTAGCGCATTCAAATCCCCGACCGTTGCAACTGTTTGTGCGCCATCAATATGGTTATTTTGTCCCGCTTCCCCCCGCTCTGGCCTACAGCCTGACGATATCTAGGGGAAACGCAAGAAGTCTTCGAAGAAAGCACCCGGGCCCAAGAGGGTAATTACCCCACCCATCCTTCCTGCACCGACAAATCTGATATATTTGGCAGAAGGAGAAGCTTCCCACGACGTTCCAGTGCCTGTTCTGCAATCACGAGAACTCTGTCTCAGTCACAATCGACAAGAAGTCCGGCGTCGGCAACCTACATTGCAAGGTGTGCGGTCAAACGTTCCAAACAAACATTAACTGTACGTGGCGAACTCGAAGTGGCCAAAGGAGGAGCTGATGCTGAGGTAGACCTTTCTGCGCCCGTTGATGTCTACGCCGACTGGATCGATGCCTGCGACGCCGTTGCGAAGGAAGCTTCGGGCGGCGCGACCGGAAAATCTTTGAACCGCGCCGGAGCACTCCCTCGGCGCAATGCTGCAGCGGAAGAAGGCGAAGGTCAGGGGGATGACTTTATTGTCGATGATGAGCTGGACGCCGAGGGCGAGTACGCGGACGACGAGTGATTTATTCATGGACTATTGGTGTGTTCCGACTATCTTCATGCATATAGGGTCACGTTCAGGCAGGCAGTACTTTGGCGTTTTGGGAAATACCAGGGTCTATCGGAGATTCACCACGTTTGTCAGAAATATTGCAATCGAACAGGACTAAAGTCCTTCATTTCATTGTTATGCCGACTGCACTGGCAGCGACTTCCCCACACCGAATTCCAAGATATCTATCTGGTATTTACTCATTCAACTTATGTCTTTAGGCTTTGACATAAATGGCCAACATCCATACATCCGGGAATCGAGATGTCCCTCGGCCCTAGATCGCTTTACATGGTATAGAAGCGGTCACCAAAATCTCCGAGGCCAGGGACGATGTAGCTGCGTGCACAGGTCAACGGAACGAATATCATTTCAAGGGACAGTCTCACTTCTTCGCGTCCAACCCCATATCCACAAAGGCTGTCACCACTCGAACTTTGGGGAACCTTTTGGCAAAGTTCTTTGCTCCTTCTGGGCTGGCGATCAGGTTGAGGAAGAGAATGTGGTCTTCCGGTACCCCTCGTGACTTGAGAACATCCACTGCCATGAGGGCAGATCCACCTTGTTTAGCGTTAGCTTCAATGAGGACATACTTGAAGCTCATATTTTACCTGTGGCCAGCATAGGATCGAGGAGGAGAACCCATCGCTCGGCAATGTCTTCGGGGAGCTTATCATAATACAATTTCGGTTTGGAGGTCTCCTCATCGCGCTGAATGAGGATCTTTCCAATCCTCACAGACCTGCAGCAATCTCGTAGACCTTGCTCCATAGACTCGCCAGCCCGCATGATAGAGACCCCACATATCTTGCCCTCAAATTTCACGCCAGAGTAATTCCGCCCCACTGGGGTAGTGATCGTGTGCTCAACTACCGGGAGATGGTTGAGGCCCTCTTCAACAAGTAATCGTATTATACGATTGGAATAGAAAATAAAGTCGGCACGCCCAGTGTCCTTGTCTCGAATCATGCTATACAAGCCTTGTCAATCCTAAGCAAAATTCAATTTAGGCACAGCCTTACGTTAGCAGCGCTATCAGCTGCGGCGTCTGCGCAAGAATATGAACATTCTCATGGTCGAGGGCAGTGGAGACCGTTGCAGTTGGTTTCTGGGTAGCTGGACGGTATTCAGGACCAACAGACTGTGAAGGGGCCTGGGTTTCGGATTCAGAAGACATATTGGCGAGGTTATGGATCTTGTGAATAGAGGGGAGCTCTGTGGGGGCTTAGAGCGCTTTTATATAGAGACAAGGAGCCAATCGTACACAGCTGAGGCCAAAACCCAAGTATGGACATAAACACAGCGACCGCCCGGTGAAACTTTTAGGAAGGAGGTGAAGGACAGTGCACAAGGGCGTTCCAGGCCAGACTCGTGATCATCGGGGAACTCCATCACTACCAGAAGAAGACGCCTTTCCACATTTGGCGATAACGTGGGCTTGGCAAAGGAGCATTGCGCCCAGCCACAGTAGCAGGTTCGTCATTGCTTGATGCAGCCGCCCGCCAAAACACCGAAACATAAACACTCCCCTCTCACATCCCATGCGCCCGTGTTCACCACGTCAGCTAATCTCGATCGCTCTTCCTCGGATAGTTTCTGTGCTCTTCGCCTCTCGCCCACACCTCCCGTCTATTGTGCATAAGATGCGCGTCTGAGCCATTTCCCCGATACCTTCTCACAAACCTTCGGGTTCCTCATGGCCACGGCCATGTCTTCCGCCTTCACTGCTGCCCACCGCCGGAAGCGAATCGCGACATACGGGAAGGCGTCGCGGTCAACGACAAACTTTACCTGGAACGAAGACGCGCCTTCGCCGGACAGGCCCCGAAAGCAAGCGGGGGCGTTGCAGAGTGTGTTGAGGAGGCCCGGAGCAACATCTGGCTCTGATAGCACTGTTGGTAACAGTCGTGCAAACCCGTCGAGATCACTTGCGACTCGCGACGTCTTCGATGTACCCTCCGAAGACGAGCTCGCCCCTCTACTGTCACCTGTCCCCACAAAGATTTACCCAGCGAAAACATCTCCGAAGCAGGTCGCGCCCATGGACGATTTCGATGTTCCATCCTCTGGTAATGAAGCGCCCTTGCCTAGGCGACGGATAGGGAAGACACCACAGCCAACACACAAACATGACGCTCCCCGCCGTCTGGTGCCTCCGCTGAAGAAGCTGACAAAGACCGACCGTTCAGATATGCCTTCGTCAGATGATCCACTGGCTGCTCCTCCCCGGCAGCGAGCAAAAACTCCTCTGTCTTTGCGCAAACCCGATAAAAACAGTCAGTTGCAGCAACAGACAGAAAGATGTCCCGTGGTGAGACCTAAGGCTGTGTCGCGAGCAACTACTCCAGTCCCGACGGCGTCCACCGTAGAGCGGAAAAACAAGAGTGCATCAACTATTCCTGCCAAGAATCCTGCGGTGAAGCCTACCTTAGATGTGGACATATTCGATGTTCCTTCATCTGACGGGGAAACGGCCCAGAGAACATCGAGGAGGCCTCGGCCGGCACCATTGCCCCGAGCAAAGACTCCAACAGTGTCACGACCCCCTGGCCCTCGGCGTTCACCCGCTGCATCTATCGAGTCTGATGACTCCAATGCTTCTAAGAAGCGAAAGTGGCGAGGCTCGAGCCAGATCTCACTTACGGCCAATGTCACAGAATTGGCGGGTAGGAAGGAAGAAGAGTCTGTCGTACCTCAACGGAGCAAAAAATATCGAAAGAAGGAAGATAGTGTTTCGCCTAAGCATGATTCTGAGGTCCACACGCAGCCCCCGAAGCAGATACCCACTACCGCCACAGAGCCTACCATTAATAAGCCCAAGCGGACAAGGGTACGGACAGTTCCAGTTCAGGCAAGAGCTCCTATTTCTAAAGGCCAATCTTCCCCCGCAAAGTTGCATGGAATGCTCGCAATGCGATCGGTGCCGCAGCGACCACCCGCACCCAAACTACCTGAACTTTCCATCATCGAGGATGTAACCATGTACGACATCCATGATCCTGCCACTCCTCCTCGCAAGGCGTTGAAGAGCTCAATAGCTGGGTCGGTGACGCCTCGCCAAAGAGAGATATTTGGCAACTTGCTGGGAGATTCTTCGGAAAACACTACTCCAGGCATGCCGAGTATTGCAAGACTGCAATTGACGGTCAGAAAACCAAGAGACACCCTAGCTTCATTGGCAAGATCTTCATCAGATATCCCTCAAACTGCTCACTCGCGGAAGCCCAGGCTTATCGACACGCTCATGCAAGCTCAATCTGAGTCGGATGAAGAGGGAGAAGAAGAAGAGGAGGGGGGGGGAGAGGCGGAGGCGGAGGAAGATGAAGATAGTGAGAGTGACGAAGACATTGAGCAAGATATTACCAAAATTCCGATTGGTTCACGCTCCCTTCATAAGACGACTTACAGAACCGCAACTTCATCTCTTCCTGCAGCTGATGATGCGGAGATGGATGATGAACTACCAACGAACTCGCAAACCTCACAAGGTGCACTTCACCTGAATACTGGACCCAAAGTTACATACGCTAAACAACGGAGTTATCTAGAGGAATCGAACCTAGAGGATGGCCTACTTCTGGCCATGGATTTCGATGACATCCCTGGGCTCGGTGGATCCAGCTCCAACAAGGCTTCGAACAACTTTTCTGACGAGGAGGAAGAACCCACAAGCCAAGTCCGCGGCATCCACGAGTTGCGGAGAAGAGGTCAGAATGAACAATTTATGCTTGAAGCCCAAACTTCTATCGACGAAATTGCGGGCAAGGCCGGCTTAGGAGCTTCTGCGCGGCGTAGCGTGATGTTGGAGTTTTGTACCCAGCTCGCTGATGAGAAATTTGTCGATCAACTTCTCAACTCTGCCCTCGACCATCAATTCTTTAGCAGCCTTGCCTCGAAAGGAGATGTTATATTCGACTTCGCTGCCATCGTGGCCACAGCCTTCATCTTGAAGACTGGACCGGGATTCACAATCCTAGATAAGATTCATGGATCGGACATCATGGCAACATTGACCAAACTCCTAGACTTGGGTACTGATATCGGCAGGATTGCCAAAGAACGGAAGACGAATCTATCCCGTGTTGGACAAGAATCTGTAGCCGGGTTTCGAAAGCTCGTACAGGACTCCTCAATCTGGCTGTTCGAGAAGCCAGAAAAGGTCACACCGCAGATTGTAGCCATGAAAACTTTGGATCTGCTCATCCTCAACCTGCGCCAAGCTGGTAGCACAGAAGCGCTCCTGAGTGAGAATACCCTCAGCAAACTTCTAGACATCACGGGCAGTCCCTGCGATCGCTTGAAAAATGGAACCGGTTCTCTGCAAGACCTCACAACCTTAAATCTTGCATTTTCGATCTTGGAGGCGGTGTCAATGTCTAAAGAAAAGCAAACCACGTGGTCGAATAAGCACTTACGCCGCTTAGTGGAGATGATGCCTGCGTTGTTCGTCGCTGGTGGCGCCTCGCCGATTAGGCTTGCTATCCGCCTCTGCATGAACCTTACCAACAACAAACCCAAGGCTTGTGAGGCGTTCTCTGTGCCGGCGTTCGTACAACCTCTAGTTCGGTCTATTAGTCAAAGATTCACCTTACTGGCGGGTGAGCTTGAAGAAGAGCAGAGAACGGAGGTGTTGGAGGGCCTCATCCTTAGCTTGGGTGCCATGATTAATCTCGCGGAGTTCAGCGATCAGGCGAGGACGAGCGTGATCGCGGAAGAGGAGGGGCTGGTTGATGCGCTGGCGAAAATCTTCCTGGATGGATCGGAAAGAGCTGCTCAGGTATGTGCACACTCGTATGTTGTATATCGTTATGTTGTACTAATCTGTCTAGGCCGATTCTATGGAAGAGTCTCAATCCAACGTAGCAATTGGCTACCTCGCTGTTTTACTCGGAAATCTCTGTCTAAACGACTTTGTGCGCTACAAGGTTCGATCACGACTCCCTGGAAATAAGATCGACATGCTCGTTGATAAAGTCAGAGAATTCGTTCAATACAACGAGCGGGTCGATAATATGACCAAAGGCCAATTTGAAGGAGACGAGGGCAGAGAGACGTGGCAGAACTTCACCATGCGGCTGATGCTTGTAGCGGAGCGGTTGGAGCAAGCGGAGGCGTAAACGTGGGTAGCTTATAGGGAGGAAGGTGTTGATTGTGCATCACCTGTGTCTCTGCGCCATGTGTTACATTTTCTTTTGGAAAGAGACTACCCTTGGTAATTGCATTGGCTGCAGTGCGTTTGGCCGGTTGTTGGTGGATGAAGCACAAAGATACCCCTGGATTCTGCAACTTTTGTTCTGGACTTTCAGATTTTCTGGCATGTGCATGGGTGGGAGGATAAATGATATACATAGTCTCCAGGCGCCTTTTAGGCTCTACAGTTGTTTATATTTTCCTTTTGTGGCCAGGCTAGGACAGAACATGCAGATAGGTACGGATCCGTACAAAGTAGGCAATTGGAGGCCCGGCAGAGTGTGGACGATTTGCCACGCTGCCTAAATCAAGGTGCGTTTAGGGCTGAATACAGATGCGAGCCCAGAGACTCGGTCGCGGTGACGCGCATGGCTTGCATTTTGCCTTAAACAAGCCGTGATGAGCAGATTTCGAAACTAGCAGGCTTCTCGAAAATTGCTTGTTTGCCGGCGTGTTGACGGAAGCTGTCACAGCGTGTCCTGGTGGAACACGATGGCTGCAAGCGTACTCATTCACGCCTCGAGTCGTGCCTACTTTCAGCGACGAGCATGTGCAACGCACTTTGCAGTCGGGTAAAGCTCGCGGGGAGTCGGGAAGGAGGCGACACCATCTTTTGGACCGACGACGCCTTGTTGTCTGTTGGTGTTTGGGTGCCAGCCAAATAATGGAGGGGGCTTGTGCACTGCAGTGAGAAGACGGTGTGAAGGGCCTCGGGCGAATGCAGAGTATTCTATTACTTGATGTCAATTCACCGCGAGCCCAACCAAGAAGTGTGAATATATAACTGGGGTCCGCCAGGATGACGGTATGACACGGTGCGGTTGAACTTTTTTTGGGGGGGGGATTACTTCGTCTCTCTCCTCTAGCTACGGATCCATACATCCTCAGTTTTCTAGTTTCTTTTGCACGAGGTGCTTCCGGGACGACACGACTCGACACGCCTTGAGTCGCAGCTGCAGCTTGACGGCGGAGCTACTGGACGCCGACCGAGGGTAGCACTGGCGGAATCATAGCTCCATCGGTAGCAGGCGTAACTTTACTTAACGTAGGCATCAGCACCAAACATCTCACAACAACAACCTCCACTGTGGCCTCCCGCTCGGCCACCTCGAGATCTTCTCACCCGGCTAGCACCAGCAAGATGCCGGCGCCCAAGCAGAGGAAGATTGCAATCGTGGGGAGCAGGGCCGTTGGTGAGTTCACATGCGCGCGCAGCTTGGTGGAGCGCAACATTTCTGACGAGCAAGCCCTGCAGGCAAATCGAGCTTGACGGTGCAATTCGTCGACGGCCATTTCGTCGAGAGCTACTATCCCACGATTGAGAATACATTCAGCAAAATCATCCGCTGCAAGGGCCAGGACTTTGCGACCGAGATTATCGATACTGCAGGCCAGGTATGTACTCATTTGCTGGGCTCGCACTCCATTTTCTCAGTCCACCCCACATCCATCTGCCCTCCCCAGCTGCAGGAGCAGCCACATACCCATCCATCCATTCATCCACCCATCTATCCATCACTCGCCTGCCCCAGCACCTGCTCCCCACGCTGCATCCCTGTCTGTTCCTGAACATCCCGACAGACGAATTGAGTGAATTTTTGTTTTCTCTCTTTCCTGCGTCTTGTTTTGTTTGCGCGCTTTTTTTTTTGGACGTTCAAGCTGAGGCTTCTGAGGACGGGGCGACTGACAATTTCGCCTCTTCAAAGGATGAATACAGCATTCTCAACTCAAAGCACTTCATCGGCATCCATGGATACATGATTGTGTATTCGGTGGCGAGCAAGCAGAGCTTTGAGATGGCGAGGATTATTCGGGATAAGATTCTTAATCACCTTGTAAGTTACCCCCCTCCTCACTTCCTAAGCTAAGTGACTGTTTGGAGTTTGGGAGGGGTTGCTAAGGGGAGAGCGGGATGGAGATGGATTGGAGCTGACTGGGTTTGCTCCTGTGTAGGGCACCGAATGGGTTCCCCTCGTCATCGTCGGCAACAAATCTGACCTCCGCCCTGAACAACGCCAGGTTCAACCTGAAGACGGCAAGGCGCTGGCTGAAGAGTTCAAATGTGCGTGGACGGAGGCGAGTGCGCAGTACAACGAGAATGTGCAAAAAGCGTTTGACCTCATGATCGCCGAGGTCGAGAAGAGCCAGAACCCAGGCGAACCAGCTGGCGGAAGCAAGTGCGTGGTGATGTAAGCCCCAGGGCACATACCGTCCTCCGCGGACGGGTGGGAGAGATAGTGTACGGGGGCAGGATTTCCTGGGATACTGTGGGGAGGCTGGCCTACGCTTACAGCTTACAGCATTGCTTGTGCTCGGGCACGGCGAGGCCGCTGTGTGTGGGTGTGTGTGCGATTGATCTAGGGATAGATGGTGGGTGGGGTGGAAGTCTGAAACATTTCATCGGCTTGTGGTCTTTACATATGGCTGCCTCTATTGCGGCGTAATGGTGTTCTGGCGGAGGAGTAATGGGCGTCTTTTTCTTTCTGTCTGTGTATCTAGTATCTTGATTTCCTTGGATGTGGTAGTTTGATGGGAATTTGTCATCTGCATATATGACAGCCTTCATCTATCTCAAAGCCTCACGATTCGAGTGTTGGATAGTCAAGACAGGAAGAGAAAATCTGCTAAGAATGAACGAACTTGAGCTCCTCCCTTCACCTTTGATGTGAATATCGAGTAGCGTAAACGCTAACTAGCCAGGTGCTCAATTGCTTTCCACACATACTGACGCTATAACAATGTAGAATATCCAAGCATATGTAAAATCCCGTCCGGAAAGCCCAGGTTAGGAAGCTCCAAAGCTTCGACCACAAAGCACAGTGATCCACACTTTTCGCCGGGCCTACCTCTTTCTTACTCAGATCGGCAGGTTCGATGGAATCGTTACGACAAGGCTCGAATCATACTCCCCCGAGCTGTGATTTGCTTTTTTCGGTCCCCGGACCAAAAACTAAGAGAGCATGAGAGAGGGATTCGCGCACCGCCACAGAAGATGAAGAGTGCCACAATATCTGCCCCGCCATACCCTCGCACAGACCATCGCGGTTCCTGACTCATGGCGCTGTTCTTTTCCAGTGAGCCTTTCGAACATACAGGTCAGATAACTTCAACCCCCTCCAATTCCCTCACCTACACACTCTCCCGTCATACACCATGTTAGACGTGTAAGTAGCCGCCTCCCCCCACCTCCCCCACCTTCTCCCTGAGGCCGCATAACAAAGGCTCGGGGAATATTCGCATGTGTGCTAACAAGGAGGGGCAAACAGCAACGACTTCATCGCCGAGCGCGGCGGCAATCCTGACAAGATTCGAGAGAGCCAGCGGAAGAGACATGCGAGTGTCGAGATTGTGGACGAGATTATTAAGGATTTTGAGGTCCATCGGCAGAGTATGTGTGATTTCTTAGCCCTCTCGACACCAGACACGAGACCTTCACGACGAATATAGATATCCAAGAGACAGGGTTTATATAATAACAGCGCTAACTCCGTGGCCTCTACAGCTCAATATGCTGCCACACAAATCGGCTCGCAAATCAATGGCCTCCAAAAACAAGTCGGACAAAAAAAGAAAGCGAAGGAAAGCGCCGACGAGCTCCTCGCAGAAATGGCCGCCCTTAAGGAATTAAAGAAGAAAAAAGAAGACGAAGCCGCCGAGCTCCTCGTTAAACTCCACATCAAAGTTAAATCCGTCGGAAACTACGTCCACGACAGCGTACCCGTTTCTGACAATGAAGACAACAACGCCGTGTACCGAAAATGGGCGCCAGATGGTGTCACAGTTTCGCATATGGAAGCCGGGATTCCGCATCATGGAGTTTTGGCCCGACTGGCGGGATACGATCCCGAGAGGGGAGTCAAGATTGTCGGACATAGGGGGTATTGTCTCACGGGATATGGCCTATTTCTCAACCTTGCGTTGATTAATTATGGGCTGGAGTTTTTGTTCAATAAGGGGTACACGCCAAATCAGCCGCCCTTTTTCATGCTGAGGGATCAGATGGCCAAGACGGCTCAACTATCGGATTTCGATGAGGAGTTGTATAAGGTTACGGAGAGTAAGGATAAGCCCGAGACGGATAAGTATCTGGTATGCCGTGTCTGGCCTTTCCACCACCTCCGTATAGCCCTTAAATAGCTCGCCAGCTAATCTATCTGCCTCCTCGTCCCAGATCGCAACCTCAGAACAACCTATCAGCGCGCTCCACTCGGAAGAATGGCTCGGCGAAAAAGACCTCCCAATCAAATACGCAGGCTATTCAACCAACTTCCGGAAAGAAGCCGGGTCGCACGGCAAAGATGCATGGGGAATCTTCCGGATCCATCAGTTTGAGAAGGTCGAGCAATTCCTCATCACAAAGCCCGAGAAATCGTGGGAGGCGTTCGAGCAGATGATTGCCACGAGTGAGGAGTTTTATCAGAGCCTGGGGTTGCCGTATCGGGTTGTAGGGATTGTTAGTGGCGCTTTGAGTATGTATATGTCTTTCTATGTTGAGTTGATCTTTGGGGGGTGGGGCGAGATGGGGTGTAGATGAGTTGAGGGATGAACGGATGCTGATTGTGTGACAGATAATGCGGCGTCCAAGAAACTCGATCTCGAAGCCTGGTTCCCCGTCACTGGTGGTGGGGAGTACAAGGAACTCGTGTCTTGTAGCAACTGCACAGACTACCAGACGCGAGAGTTGGAGATTCGGTTTGGGGTGAAGAAGCAGACGGCTACGCGTAAGGAGTATGTTCATGCTCTTAACGGAACGTGTACGTCACCCCCTCCCCCTTCTCCCCTTCCCCCTTTCCCCATCCCTCCTAACCTCTTCTTTCTGTCATTGTTTCTGTACTTGCTTTCGTTAGGCAGAACAATTGTGAACTAACATGTGGGCTACGCAGTATGTGCCACAGAACGGACCCTTTGCTGTCTCCTCGAGAACTTCCAAACCCCTGAGGGTTTCAATGTGCCTAAGGTGCTGCAAAAGTATATCCCGGGTCAACCGGAATTCTTGCCGTTCGTCAAGGAGTGGAAACCTGAAAAGGTGATTCCGGATCGGACTAAGTGAGGGCTAACAAGCGGGGGACGCTGTAGCATGTGCTTGGAATTGTTGTGGGCTGTTTTGAGGACGACGGGGAGGGGTGTTGGGGATCTTGATGCATTTCATTACGCCAGGCTGGTGGCTAGAAGAGCTTGATACGAAAGGGAGAGATACAGGGGGGAGCGTGAGACGAATGAAGGGACCCTTAGATACACCATACCACACCATACCATACCACAGCCAAGGAGGGGGCTGGAAAAGCATTCGGAATTCGGCATTCATTGGCTCCCTCAGATAGAGGTCCGCGATAGACAGGTATCTTAAAACCCTGCGTTGCTCGACCTCGTATTTCGCTTGAGTGCTCATTGCAATGACTGACATTGACATCCATGTCTTCCGAAAGTCTAGACAAACGTTCTTAAAGTCGCTCGGGAGTCTCTGACAAACGCCCGTGTTAGGCAAATAGAGCGGTCGGAGGTGGGATTGATTGCCAACATTGAAAGCATCCTGAAGAATGGTGGGCGTAGTGGATACGGTCAGCGCGCCCAATAGGCCGTACTACTGACAATACTGAGTACGTTATACAGTAGATTTGAACCGTACGAACGTACAGCGATCTTCTGTCGGTGCGTATGATAACTGTTGCCCTGAGTACTGTTCGTAGTACGACGGACGGGGGTACCTTTTCGGTGTTTTGGAGAGCCCTTGCCGGAGTGGCTGCCCTGAGGGGCCGATTGGTGGAAAATCTCGTGTGCGACGCCGATTCATCTGCTCCTAGGTGACTTTTCCTGCCCATCCAGATAGTATAGCTCATCAGAATCAGAATAGCGCCTATTATTTGAGGAGCGAGTTCCTGGTTCTGGTTGCTCACCTTACTAGGGAAAATAGTCTTGCAGGGAGCTATCAGGCTCTTGACTTTGCCTCTTCTATAGTATAGCGTATCAATCGTTACGACGTACATCAATCGTATAGTACTACCCGTACAGCTCACCTCAAACGGTGCGGTTACTGTCCGTACAGCTGCCTCTCCTCCTCACAACCGTACGTAGGTACAGGAAATCTCGTCCGTACAGGCCTCAAAATCTCTTAATAGTACAGTAGTACGGATTGTTGGCCACGCTGGATATGGTAGTGGGGTGATGGGGAATCAGTGTCTTGAGTATCTGTATCTGGATCCAACCCTTTTAAAGTATTAGCTTGTCTCTGAGAACTTGCTTTTCTGGGGTCCTGGAGCGGGTTAATAGGATTTACTTCCGGCCTGTGGGGACACAATCGCATGGTCGTTTTGGTTTGGTATGGCTACAGAAAATCTTCACGGAATGATTCGAATACTGGAAGAAGCATATGAGAAGCTTGTGGGCGCTTTTAGGGAAGCATTCGATAAGAAACTGGTATAAGTAGGGAATATGGCCCGTACAAGATTGTCATATTGCTGTTTTTAAACCCCCTACAGCTGAGCTTATTACATGGTTAGAGCTGGTGGATAGAGGCCATGGAGTTGCGGGGACTCAATTAGGTGGTGAGGGCCAAACGAGAAGCCCAAAAAAGCTTGTCAAGGCTACCATGAGATAAAAGAGAGAAGAACCAGTGCAGAGAGCGCAGATGTAAGACACAGCAGGAAGAAGATTAATGCAGCGTTTGCCTCAGTATTACGGCAGAGCTATACTAACAACTAGCCGGCTCAGAAACTACAGTCCTCGTGCAGCTCCGGACTGGCAAGTTGCTCCTCAAGGAACCTCTCCATAAGGGCAACGCGTCCGAGATAGCAGACTTCAACTTCGAGTTTGTAGAATCGGTACCAAGTTTCCTTTTCTTTCCAAGAATTAGAAACGGTAGAGAGCGATGTTACGGTAGCAACATGGAGAGCGATTCGGTGACTGGTCGTATGACAAGGGTTGGTACTCGAACAGACAAGAAGGATACGAGAATATGGGCGGGCAGATGGAGCGATGGGGCAATGGAGGCAGCATATCGGCGTGGCCAGAGCCAGGCTTCAATGTAAATGGGAGTTAGCTATTCTAGTCAGCGTTGAGCAATGCTCCTACCCGGACGCCTCTTCATCGCTTCTGTAACTTTCACCAGCAGCTCTTTGGCCTCATTCCACCGCCCTTGATTCCTATATGTCGATGCTAGGTTGTGGATGCTGGTTACTGTAGATGGATGCCCGGCTCCAAGCGTCCTTATGGATGTTTCCATCACTTGGACCTCCAGCTTTTCTGCCTCTTTCCACCGTCTTTGATTCCTGTATGTCGAAGCTAGGTTGCCCATACTGACGAGTGTGTCAGGATGCTCCTTGCCAAGCACTCTGGTGGAAATCTCCATCACCTGCACCTCAAGCTTTTCTGCTTCCTTCCACCGTCTTTGTTTCCAAAACGTCGATGCTAAGTTGCCCATGCTGACTAAAGTGTCAGGATGCTCCTCACCAAGTACCCTCTTTCTTATCTCCACTACTTGCTCCCCAAGCTCTTCGGCCTCCTTCCACCGCCCTTGATTCCAAAACGTGATTGCTAGGTTGCTCATGCACGCAAGTGTGTCTGGATGCTCCTTACCGAACACCCTCATTCTTGTCTCCATAGCTTGGTCCTCCAGTTTTTCGGCTTCCTTCCATAGCCCCTGATCTCTATATGCCGAGGCTAGGTTGCCCATGCTGGTCAGTGTGTTAGGATGCTCATCACCGAGTACCCTCTTCCTCGTCTGCATTACTTGCGCGAACAACCCTTCAGCATCCTTCCACCTCCCCTGCTTCAAGAATGTTGAGGCCAAGTTGCCCATGCTGGTCAGTGTATCGGGATGCTCCTCTCCAAACAGCTTTGTTCTGATTTCCATTACTTGCACCCTCATCTCTTCAGCCTCCTTCCACCGACCTCGGTTGCTATATATTAACGCTAGGTTATTCATACTAGTCAGGGTAGAAGGGTGCTTCTCTCCAAACAGCATTTTTCTGGTCCCTAAGAGTTCCGCCAATAGCTTTTCAGCCTCCTTCCACCTCCCATAATTGTTGTACGTCAAAGCTAGGTTGTTCACGCACGTGAGCAGGTCTGGATGCTCCTTACCTAACACCCTCATTCCTGTCTCCATGGCCTGGACCTCCAGCTTTTCGGCTTCCTGCCATCGCCCCTGATGCTTATATGTCAAGGCTAGATTACCCATGCTAATCAGTGTCCAACGATGCTCCTCCCCAAATATCCTCCTTCTCGTTTCCATCGCTTGCATAAAGAGCCCTTCCGCCTCCTTCCCCCGCCCTCTCTCCCGAATCATCGACGCCAAGTTGTCCATACTGATTAGCGTAGAAGGGTGCTCCTCCCCAAGTACTCTCTTTCTTGTTTCCATCACATGCGCCTCAAGCTCTTCCGTCTCCTTCCACCTCCCTTGATCCCTGTAAGTTGATGCCAGGTTTGAAATGCCAGTCAGCGTATGTGGATGCGTCTCACCAAACACTTTCTTGGAGGTCTTCACTACTTGCGTAAACAACTCTTCCGCCTCCCCCCACCGACCTTCGGCATGACATAATCTTGACAATGTGTGAGTGTTTATTATCCACACAGCACTCTCCTGGCTATTACAATGCTCTATATCTCCAATCTCTCGTCTGATAACTCCTTCGGCCTCGTTTAACCTATCACTCATGCGGTATTGATTGGTGAAATTAACCAATGTAATATGGCCGAGGGATTGTAGAGTACTATAAGTGGTGTCTGCTCGCGTTATGCTATCGGGTTTGGACGATTTAATTCGGCTCACGGTTTCGCAAAGTTCCAGTTCAGTTTTCCTGCTCTTGGGTAATAGCCCCGTTAACTTCAGCTCATCTCTACAACCGCCAAACCCAGTCTTATAGCAAAATGCGAGCTGAAAGGCAATATTAGGGTCGACACTAGTCTGTTGTTTGGTTTCCAGCAGGCGTCTAATGTACCGTCTTACTCGATAGTCTGACTGGTAGAGGGAATTTATAGATAGTATAATCTGCCTGCATCAACATAAAGTCTCAAATCTTAGGGTATCTCTCACCTCAAAGTTACAGTCGGGCACCCGGAATTCGCCCTTTTTCAGTCCGACCACTCCAGACCCTGCCCTTTGAGTAGTATTAGCCAAATGCGCATAAGTAGAACAATATAAGCTTACCAAGTTGGAATGAGGAGACCAGGCAACGCTGAAAGACTTTCGTCTCGTTCATCTGGGTTTCGGGCCAACGATGTGCTAAAGAATCGCTCTAGCGCTTTCTTCTTGTCGGTCTCTATATCTCTCTCGGCTAGAACGAGCTGCTGAGCAAGCATTGCCAATCTATCCTGCTGCTTCAGATCCGCGAGAATACTCTTGCACATATGTCTCTTCCCTTTGCCTTGGAAATATCGCTCCGCCCAGTATGCTTCGTGGGGCAACGGTGTAATCCCTGAGAGATACTTTTCAAAGAGGACCCAGAGGCATAGCATACCAAACGAGAACACATCCATCTTCCGTGCTTGGATTGGCTTCAACTTTTCGTGCTCGCATTCAGGCGCACACCAGGGCCATGACTTTGGTACAGAAACAAGGTCGTCTTCACCCGCAAATCGGGTGGAATATCCGAAATCTGTCACTCTTGCGGTGTACGCACCAGCGTCGTCTTTAAAGACCAAGACATTCTCAGGCTTAATGTCTCCATGTATAATCTCTGGAATTAATTTAGTTGGTTATTTTATAAGCTTATTGACCCTAGAGAACGTACTGTTGAAGTGCATGTCCAAGATCGCAATGCCAACGTCTACACAGAGCTTTAGACGCTCAGCAACGCATAATGCTCTCCCTACTGGCAGCGTTGCAAAACTGTAAAGATCTCCGTATTGCGATTTTTCAAACACTAGCACCGGCCAGACTTTGTCATTGCCTCTATCATCGGATACAATATCCCAGCATATCCCCTGCAGCTCGACAATGTTGCGGTGCTTTCGAATCAATGGATGGCCAAGCGCGATAACTTCGCTGATGAGAGTATGGATAATTCTCTCCTCAGCTTGCTTCTCTTTCTGCCTGTTCGAGGCGCGCTTGAAAGCGAAGCTTGTGTGAAGGTCGATAAGAGCCTCGTTGATTATGCCTGTCGCCCCTACTCCAATTGGCTGCCGTGCGGCCTGCCATGTAGTCGGTAGAATATCGACCTGGAGTTTTTGGATGACGGCGAGGAAGGTGATCAAGTCGTACGGGGCGTCCGCTTCTTGCACTGACTCTAAGGAAGCGTCGGAAAGGTAGCGGGGTTTGAAGAACGTAAGATCGTCGTCGGTGGACATATCCTAGGTGCACTTGAACCGGCGAACGGAGTCTAAATTGAGAACTAGTTACAAGTGGCTATGATGATTAGACATTGGGTGTTTTGATAGAGCAGGAAGAGCACTGGCGTGGTGGCAGCGCTAGGCTTCGGCCGTGCCTCGAACTCCCCTCGGTCGGATGTCTTGCCTGACTGGTGAGAACCCCGCTCCTTATATTGCTTCTGCTTTCGTCCAATGTTGGCCGGTCTATCGCTAGATTTTGAACCAGATAGCCCTACGGGAAACACCAGCGGATGTGTCAAAGTGTTCGCTTCCGTATCTACCTTCTATCATTTGTCAAGAGGACTTTACTGCTCGGTCCTGGCCGGCTTTTGGTATACCTAGCCCCACGCCTTTCGCCTTGTGGCTTCTTGACTAGTGATATCGTTCCTGTTTGACTGGTTTCGGGCGGTCCTAGCCGAGATCTCTCTCTCGTCGCCTAGCGGATCTTTCTGCAAGCACTGGCGGTATTTTATATAGAGCTATCCAACATTGGTAAGGATATGTTCGCAGTTTGTCTCCTTAATCCTCTGGGTTAGAGTGGCCAGTTGACTCAGACCTAATCTGCCCTCTGAAATGAGTATTTCACTGCTTCCTTTCACTCGATGGATTTCACTCTGACTTAACATAGAATGAATTATGGATAAAAAAACGAATGATCTTGAGTCACGCATCAAGAGTCTTCGACGCGAGAACGCAGATTATCGGTGGTTTATCCCTGAACTGCTTCTCCGCGAAGCATTATCAGAAGATGTGGTCCGGAAGGCGTTACTGGACGTTGGGGCTAAACCATACCATCTTGACGAAATAGTAAAGCATGTTCTCACCAGCGGGATTAAGATTTTCGCTGTTCTCGTCTTAACTAACCAAGCTGCCATGACTTCCAAGTTCATTGAAGAGGGAGAATTTCAGGATCACAGGCTTCCCTTCAACCTGAATACTTTGGACAAGCAGCTCTCACTTCCGGCTGCCAAGGATTTCTACGAGAGGCAGTGGGAATTCACAGCGCCCACCTTTTATCGCGGCACGATCCATCGACTGCTCAACGACCGGTCCGTGCTTCCCTTCACCAAGGACAAGCGCATTGGCAACGGCGCATTTGGCACCGTATACGAAATCAAGTTGGATCAAAGCCACCAGAAAATGGAGGGAGCGTTTCAGAATAGGGTAGGAATATACCATACGCACCGTCGATATATACGCATAGCTAACGTTTACAAGCTGGTGAGAAAGGAACTAGATGATGCCGGAAGCCACAGGATCGAGCTTGAAAACCTCGCAATTCTTAGCCACTTAAGACATCCGAACATTTTGGAGCTCTTGGCTTCGTACACATACAAAGGCAAACACAATCTGGTTTTTCCTCTGGCCGAGGGCGGTACACTGGCCGAGCTCTTCGCTAGTGATCGCCAAACAACACGCTTCAAATCCAACCAGGCTTTCTTCATTGCACTTACTCGTCTATCATCTGCTATTGAGCACGTCCACAACTTTGTTGAGCGTCGGATCGATCTCAACCTCATTGGCTGCCATTATGATCTACGGCCTAAGAATATACTCGTCTCTAGAGACACATTTCTCCTTGCCGACTTCGGTCTATCAAGGTTTAAGCAGGCTTCCGAAAGTTCAGGAGCGTTGTTCAAGGAGGGAGCTGGGGACTACCGCGCACCGGAATGTGAGGATATTGATGACAATCTCTTTCCAAAATTTATTGTGCGTCGATCGAGCGACATTTGGTCGTTTGGTTGTATAATGGCGGAGGCTGTTACATATATGATTCTCGGCCAAGACGGCGTAGAGGAGTTCAGAAAAGTGCGAAGTTTTAAGAAGGGACAAGGGCGATATTATCTTTTCCACTGTGGGCTTGGCGAACCGAACGAAGCTGTAATCAACTGGATATCGCAGTTAGAGCACAAATCGCCGAGGGAGTGCAAGATGCTCCTCAAACTGGTCCGGAATATGATCGCAATAGACGAAGAGAAACGGCCGAGGGCAAAAGAAGTTACAGCAAAACTACGGCTCATTGCGCAACACGTGGTGGTCGATTCTGTGGAGCAACTTTTCCGAGTTATTCCTTTTGGAAGCTCCCTTGATGCTCTTATTGAACAGAAGAGATTCCAGTCGTGGAAGTATGCCCTTGGGATGCTTGATCAGGAGAGTGTTTCGGATTCCACTAGGGACATTTATTGGGAGCACGAATCTCAGTTTGACTCTACACTGGATTGTCTTTACAAGATCCGAGATCTCCTGAAGTCTGCCTCCTCCCGGAAGCAAAGCATGGCAGCATTTCCTCATATTCCACTCAGTGAACTCAACGATCGCCTTGATGAGCTTCTGAATGAGAGATTGCAAGAGAAGTCCAGAGCTTACTTTAGAGCTTCCATGGTTGAGGATGAAGACAATTTGTTTCTCCAAATGGTTCGAGATGATGTCAAGGGGATGTCTTTCCCCAAAGAGATCAGAATGCGAGCCACTCTAAAGTACATGACCGAATTAGCGATGCAACACCATGAAAGAGATACGTACAAGCGGCAACTCGACGTAAAGAGTGTAAAGGTCGGATCTGCATTTGGTGACCACAACATCGGGCGGTTCCAAGAGGGTGATCTCTCCCACCCGGTGCTAGTGGAATGGCGATGGTATGGGCGCCAATCCTCAGAGAAGACAATAAACCGTGAGCTTTTTGTTCGGGTCGACGCAATAGCCGATCTGCTAGGCCAAGATAAACCCAAGGAGTTCTGTACACTCGACTGCAGAGGGTTCTTTCACGATCCGAATCAATTTGCCTTCGGCGTCGTCTACGATTACCCACGGGCTACGGCACCATATCAGGGCAATCCACAACTTAAGTCTCTTCGCAAGTTAGTTACAGAAACCACCGCGTCAGTCAAACTTCACCCTACTCTTGACGATAAATTTAGGGTCGCGTACATTCTATCTCGATCTATATTAGAGTTTCACCTGGTTGCATGGCTGCATAAACGATTAAACTCATCGAACATCGCATTCTTTGCCACGACCGAGCTGCTTCAGGACGAGTGGTTCCAGATGCCATACGTTGTTGGCTTCAACCACAGTCGTCCTGATGAAATCTCGGCTTTTACCGGGGGCCCCGAGGATTCAGGCACTAATCGTTATCAACACCCTGCATATCTTAACACTACTCGAAGATATTGTGCAGAATTTGATTACTATAGCCTTGGCATCATCCTCCTAGAAATTGGGCTTTGGAGACCCCTGGACGAGATAACTCGAAAGTATAAAGGTACTCACGAGCAAATTCGAGACAAGCTTCTCCAAGAGCGGGTACCATTGCTCAAACAATCAATGGGTAGGCATTATTTTGAAGCCGTTAGGGTATGTATTGAAGGCGACTTTGATCAGTCAGAACTTAATGACGGACATGGAGGCAACACAAAGTCCTTACATCTTAGCTTTGAAAGATTAGTTGTCAGTCGGTTGAACCAATTCTCGAATTGAGGTTAATATTCCTATTTGACAATAGTACCGATGAACAAGGGCTCACTGTCGAAAAAGAGAACTCGAAATAAAAGGGATACGACAAACTTCAGCTTTATATTCCACATATTCGTTCTCAGAAAGTATTCATCATGTCTTGACAACTTATCTCGATGGCTCTCCCCGTGTTCGTGTTATGTTCGCATTGGCTATCCACCATACAAAAGATTTAATTGACCATAAAAGTCCCTCTCAATACGTGTTTCCCAGTCCAATCTGTTGTCCATCAGCTGAATCTACACATCCTGTCCTCTAACTTGGTCTGAATCACCTTAGGGTTTGAATTCTTTTGAATTTGCTTAATTTCGTCCTATAATCCTTAGCCTTATCTACATCAACTCGTTTAGTGGAGCATACATCGGTTAATCTTCGAGGAACTCTCAGAATGAATATCTCATCCTGAACCTATACTAGCGCTTAGTACATTATATGGCGTTCACAGATGACTCTCCTACCTCAAATTCATAATTATTACCGAAAAGACCCCATAATACCTGGGATAGGACAGTTTTGTCAATGTATTGGTTCGAGATAGCTTGAATCTCCATCGCTGGGGGTTTTGGCGGAACTGCATTCGCGTTACTGCCGGACAGGTTACCACAAGGATTTTGATCGGCAGCTTCATAAACTTACGTAGCATTATTATGTGATAAATCGCCGATAACCTGAATTTGGCATGTCAGGCAAAAGGCAAACACAAGACGAGTGATGGCTGACCGGTTCTGTGCGGGGCCGCCCTCGTCCAAATGAATCAATGCATAATCGATGCATGTCAGCACCACCGATTACGGGGTAGAAATCTGAATGGCCGTGTTTATTTTGCCTCCATGCAAGGTGTCATTGGAGATTTAATTTAAACATTCACTATGAGCTAAGTATGAATTGCGAAACACTACCACAAAAGCTTTTAACATGCACTTAGTTCACTAGAGTACGCAATCTTTACTATGGTTGTACTGTCAGAAGCTTCAACTAGCTTGCATGCCTATACTCGCCCTAGACTAGAAGATGATCCTGGAGGGGATTCACTGTATCTCGCTCCAGGGAAAGACGCGGCTTTCTATGAAAGTCTCCTAGTCCAGCATGAGTCGCGTCTGTTTGAGACGGATGAATCTATATTTGAAATAATACGCCTACTCCATGATAATGAAAGTATGTTATTTTACTGTATAAATGAGACAATTTCGTTCTGCTACTAATATGGCCTCAAGGATCGATTCATGGCCGTATCGAAATCCAAACTATTTCGGATATGGGTAGCCTCGTCGTACAACTGGAGGTAAATGCCTAGCTCCCTTTAGAAGAGGCTGTTTTTATCAGCTAGCAAGAATCAATATCACGGTTCTTGGAAACTTCTGGCTAAAATTACTAATTGTGCTACAGCGTCAAAGAAGCAAAGGCGAACAGCTATTCTTGTAGGTATCACAAGGCTTGCATAATCTCCCGTGAAACACGTTCATACTAACCGATACTTTATCTAGCATCATTCCTCAACTTTATTCTTGGGGACAGCTCCAGATTACCAGAGAGGCCTTTCAACGAATTCTTGTGTGCCAGCAAGTCTCAACACCTTTCTTAAACGTTGTGAATGAATTCGGTTCTAAGATCCGACACGAATTTCCGAGATGTAATACCTCGTTTTTCTGCAGCCGTATGGATTCTTGGCCGAACTTGGAAGGACAAGCAGCTTACGAGAGCCATCATGACTATGGTATGAGAGATGATAAGAACATTTACATCAGCTAAACCTAAATCAGAACTGTCGTATATTCTCCAATTCGTGGAGAGGAATGGCCGGAACCGAGGTAACCCCTGGTCTATCCGACAAACTGGTGTCTACCAACAAGCGAAACTTGATAATCGTCAGTCGGTCTGGATATTTTTGCAGGTATCGACGCCTACCAGGGGAGTTTTAGAGGACAAACTGCGGAGGCAATTAAGTTGCCATGGCGAGAGCGACAGTCCTGTTGCGCTCCACGCTCTTCTACTTAGGGCAACAGCAGGCAACTGGGGAGAGTACGTTCGAGGCCTTAGTGCGCAGCTTAGAGATTTAGTGAGTCCATCGTCTATGCGGAATCCTCGATTGAGTTTATATTTACTTATATAGCGACGCAGGATGAGAAAGCATGTTTCTCTAAAATAGGCATCGTAGCTGCACATGATTACTCTGTCACTTTCGCAGATATGCAGGCTCTACAGATATTGCGACACAAAATTCTCACAGTATCTTTGATTCTCAGCTCTTGCCTAGATGTTGCAGCAAGACTAACAGAGCACTGCCATAAGCTTGACGGATCTGGTTTCTCTCCTAAGAGTGAACAAGTCCGTAAGTCGATCGAGATGTATGCTGCAGACATTCGTGTTCACCAGCAAAGTGTTGGAGTCCTGATGGAGGCGCTGCAAGGCACGTATGGCTTGGTACGTATGCTTCTTTCTCAACACACAACTCGCTAGAGAAAGCTGACGCCCTTTGGATCAGCTATCAAAGATAATTGAATTCCGTAACATCGAGAGTCTACGGCATATCACCGAGGCATCCGAGAGGCATCTTGTCTCTTTAGAGGACCTTACTTTGCGGATCCGGAACGAGAATCGCGACTCAGCTACCCTTGCTTCTCACGCTCAAAAGGACACAAAGGCCATGAAGGCATTGACCACGATGGCTACTACGCTCCTTCCAGCGTCGTTGATAGCAGTATGATTTTACCACGAGCCTGCATTTAGATAGTACTAAAAAGTGGACAGACAATATTCAGCTCGAACTTAGTCCAGCTAAAGCAGGACAGCAATTCTGACGGCCAAAAGACGCACTTTGTCATAGCTACCCAGTTCTGGATATATGTCGTGGTCACACTAGCTTTGACAATCATTATTCTAGGCTGTACACGCCTTCTGGAACGCCAGTGGATAAGGAGTCTGTTTTAAGGCCTTCCATCGCCAGAGCAGGCCATGTAGGTTTTTGTCAGTCTATTATGTCCGAGCGTTGCGTTTTAGCTTGATGGATCCGCCATGTTCAATATTAGAAATGGAAGGATCCAGGACCCAGGGACTGTAACCCATACAATTTAGGATGGATTTTGGGGAGTCCCCATATAAGCTCAACCGGCAACTATTGAGGAGGGTTAAGTGACTAGTGGGGACGCTGGGGGAACCTAGATAATAAGGAGTGATTAGGGACTCCGCTTCAACAAGAGTATACTAGGACAACGAGGCTTCTCCACGCAGTAAAGCAAGCAGCTCTAAGGCCAAGCTCTTAATATAAAAACGAGAATGCCATGCACGATTTGCTATTAGCCAATTCTTTGAGTGGATGCCTAGACCCCCGTTAGCTTGACCACCAGAGTCTGGGAATTTCTATGGCTCTCTACGACTCCTCGCAGCCATGTAACATCCTATGAGTATCATCTCAACGTAGCTTAGAGTTTAAGTGGTGAACTGGAAAGACAACTTCGCTTTGATGTACAATACAAGGCCACCATAGATCTTTTTTTGGAAGCGCACGTCATTCGCCACACGACCTGTCGATCGCGGCCCGCCTTATTTTTGTGGAACGGCCGTCTCGCGCGAACGCCACATCTCCGATCGCCCTCAAAAGTTTCGACCACCACAGCGACTACCTTTGCGACGACACCCGCCGCCCTTTATCATGCTGCTGCTTATGCGGCTCTAAAGACTTCTGTTCATTCGTCAGCTCGTCCCTAATCGCTGCAACACTATGTTGGTTTCAGCACATCAAGGGTGTTGTAACCGCCTGTTTCCCGAGCCACACCGTCATCACGCCGACTTCTATTCCTGGGGCGAAATCTAATAATAAGCATAGCATGCACCTAAATTGCCTACCTCAGTAACCACAAGATATACTATACCTGGCGATCCAGCCTGCCGGCGCTTATATTCCATCTCTGTAGGGCTGGGGTATGCCAGTGCGCCGGTTAAGCTTCATCCGAACAGTGTGGCCATGCACCTTTAGAGAAAACATCCTTCAGCCGCCTTGCTTGGCACGTTTCGCTGTGGGAGGTTGGGGAAGCCAGACAGGTCCTTGCCGCGTAGGTCTGGCCGTTGATTTGTGGTAATGATCCGTCAAGCATGCTATGTCTAAATTCATTGCATTGCTGGCGAGCACGTTCCTAGTAACGAACGTGTCTGATGTTTCACGCAGCTGCGAATCATCAGTCGGATACTGGTCGCTTATGTCAGGCCATGCTTCGATAATAGTAGCTTAATGGTAAGGAACTGCTGCTTCTGCTTCTTCCCCCCGGCCTACCACACTTCTCCTCTCGTTCGGTCTACCAAAGACTACCTCTTTACTTTCTCATTCACTTCGAAGCTGGCAGAGCCAGCCGATTTCTTAGACGTTCCCTAGTGGAACATAATCCAATACGTCTTTGAAGATGTCGAGCTCAATGATATGGCCCACATATCCAGACATACCTATCTTTCTCGAAACTAGTGATGATCGCGGATTACCGAAGTCGTATGGAACTACTCCCACCACGCCGACTATCTCTCTTGCTATTGAGAATTCACCAGGGCAACCAGTCCACCTCAGCGTCCCGACGTCATCGACTCTTCCGGCTCGGGGCTGTTCTGCAGTATGGCCTATCCCAGAACCACCGCCAGAGATCGAAGTGCAGCAGCCTCGCAGGCCTTTACTTCGCTTCTTTCCATTAGAAAGGCCAAGGGTTTGCTTCAATGGTGCTCGTGCTTTGCAGTGTTCAGAGAAAACCGAATTCACCGACTTGGAATCGGGCACCGCGGACACCCACAACAAGATCAATTTCGGTGGTTTGGGCATCATGAATGGTCCAACCAAGCTTCCATCCACTCAAACACCATCCCTAGTCGATGAAAAACCCGAAAGCTCGCCGAACATTGCGGAACGAATCGAACAGAGGCTTTGGCGGTATAGCTTGAACGGAAATGTAATCGAAAGATGGCTGCTCGAGATTATTAGCTGGATAATAAGTGCCATATGCATGGGCGCTATTGTTGGTGTCCTCATATACCTGAGAAATCAGCCTTTATCCAAGTGGCAGCTCAGCAGGATCGGCCTCACACTAAACGCCTTCGTCTCAGTCCTGTCTAAGGTCGCCTCTGCAGCTCTTCTTCTACCAGTAGCTGAGGCACTAGGGCAACTGAAGTGGAGTTGGTTCCAAGGCCACTCAAAGAAGATGTGGGACTTTGAAATATTCGACAACGCTTCGAGAGGGCCATGGGGTTCATTTCTCTTGTTGATCCGGACGAAAGGCATGACGCTAGCGGCATTAGGAGCTTTGGTCACCATATTTGCACTGGCGCTAGATCCTTTTTTCCAGCAGGTGGTCGACTTCCCTGACCGATGGAAGCTCCAAGGGAATAGCTCAATTCCTAGGGTGGTGCGATATGACCCCGTTTATCCAGAAGAGTACATGAACGGACTGTTGCAAGCACAGCGCGATGAAAACCTCGAGGCGGTGCTCAAAAACTTCTTCTACGACAATGGGACCCAACCAATGCTGTTCGGCAATGGCACCCGGGCAGAAGTTCCTCTTTCCTGCCCAACTAGCAACTGCACCTGGCCGCCATACGAAACTCTTGGGGTCTGTAGCCAGTGTGTAAATGTTTCCCAGCTCCTTACGTTTGATTGTCTCGAAACGCGGGTGGACTGGACGTCTAATCTAACTGGTCCCGGAACCGAGTGGACATACCCAAATGGAACTGTGTGCGGGTATTGGCTCAATTCGACGAGCAAGGAGCCAGTTCTTATGTCGGGATATTTGAAAAACTCGACCAACTCCGGTGAAGAGGAAGCTCTGTTGATGCGCATTTTAGCTCTCGTGACCAACCCTAAGAGGCAGACTTTCTATGGTGGTTCGATAAACTTCAAGCATATTCGCAATCCGATAGAAGACTTCATCATCGTTGGTGCCGCGAACGAAGCTCCAAGTGTGTACCGTAATGAGACGCCCATCGCACACGAATGCGTGCTTTCGTGGTGTGTTAAAACGATTCGTTCATCTTACTGGCAAGCAACGTATCAGGAAGAAGTGACAGACCTTTACATGAACGAAACGGAAGGACCTTACCCTTGGACAACTATACGGATCGATAGCCCGCAAGGAAGTGGTACTGATACCTACTACGCGGAAGATATCGTTATTGACGCGCCCTCATCAGGTCCAAACCAAACTTACGGGCTTAGCAATCTTACAGCCGTGAACACCATTAGCATCTTTGACGACATTTTCCCTTCATTTACGACCGTTGCAAACTCTTCGTCTGAACCACTGTTAAGGTACAGGACAAGCTTCGTGAACAAAGTCATGCGTCGGGTAATGCGGAAGAACCCATGGATACCACCAGCGAACGTAAGCGAACACGTGGACAGGATGGCGACGGCCTTTACCAACGTGATTCGAGCAGGGTCGAGCAAGGAGATGATCTACGGCGACGCATACGACAAAAAAACGTATGTGTCGGTACGGTGGGGATGGCTTTCCCTTCCACTTGGCCTGCTCATTCTTAGCTTTGTCTTTCTCGTTGCCACAATCATCAAGAGTGCAAGGGAAACGGGACAAGTGGGGGTACGGAAGACGTCGGCTATGGCAACACTACTCTACGGTCTGCCAGACCATTATCAAGAAAGAATTACCCGCTCAGTATCCAAAGGCACGCCGCGAGCAAGGGCGAAGGAACTGAGGGTAAAATTACTCCCAAAGAAAGGTTGGAGAATTTCCGGAAATATGATCTCTCCCATGACACCTAAAGCTCCACGGACCCAACCTCCGCCGGGTTGGCTGTGAAATCCTCAAAGGATATCAGAAACGATCCACGCATTACAGTCGATTGGTTTCGTCTCCATCGATAACTCTTTCAATGCGATTATCTCAGCTCTTCGTTGGTTGGGGGAAGGAGCACTCCAAGTTGCCAGCACTAGTGCCACCGTTCGAAACGAAGATCTATTGCTTCTGACCAGAGCCGCCATCAGGGATGAACACAGGCTCTCGCTTCTGTCCAGAGCCACCATCTGGGATGAAGACAGGCTCTCGCTTCTGTCCAGAGCCACCATCTGGGATGAAGACAGGCTCTCGCTTCTGTCCAGAGCCACCATCTGGGATGAAGACAGGCTCTCGCTTCTGTCCAGAGCCACCATCTGGGATGAATACAGGCTCTCGCTTCTGTCCAGAGCCACCATCTGGGATGAATACAGGCTCTCGCTTCTGTCCAGAGCCACCATCTGGGATGAATACAGGCTCTCGCTTCTGTCCAGAGCCACCATCTGGGATGAATACAGGCTCTCGCTTCTGTCCCGAGCCACCATCTGGGATGAAGACGGGTCCTCGTTTCAGCACCATAGTATCGACATCTCCAACCTGTGTGCACCATCAGTATGGGTGATTGTGGCGACAAACATGATTGGCACTTACCACAGCAACAGAAACCGGAGCAGCGAAGGAAGAAAGAGCGAAGGCGGCAATGAGAAAGAGGTAGCGCCCGTGCATTTTGGTTGGGTTGCCAAGAAATAGTCTGTTTAATATGGGTATCACAGTTGGTTGAGGTTAGTGAGACTAATGAGGGTAAAGGATGTACGTTATGGCCCAGCCAAAAAAAACGAAGGGAAAGTGAAAGGAGTGGATGTGGTGTTGTGTTGTGCGATGGTTGTTTGGATGCGGGCATGAATTTGGGGGAGGATCACCGCTGCCTTTATCGATGCTAGTCGAGCCCAGCGATATCCTTGTGCGATGCTGCCGAATACCACTCATCATCCATGAAACCTCCACCAGCGCGTTGACCCGCCTGTTGGCCCCACTCAAGAAGCCACAAACAACAACGCTGTCGCGCTGGGATGACGGACGAGATGAAGTTCATGCGAAGGTTGTGCACTTATTGGAGGTGCAAATGTTGAGGCATAATCGTTGCGCGACGGATTCGGCGAGATGAAACCTCAGGACCGAGGGGACTGGAACACGAGTCGTCACACCGGACTCCGTGGAGGGCCAGAACCAGTCCGTAATGGCTGGAATGGATCTCATCGTTTCGTCGTCATAAACCATCACAATCGCAAGCGCTTCTCAGGCTGTTAGCAAGGCCCTCCACAACTTGCACGAACTGGAGAGTATCGATTCTGCTCCTGTAATCTCCCCAGCTCTCACAAATGCCAGAATCGTTCCTAACCAATCGCAGGGGTGAAAGTCGTGCGAAATGGCTTGGCGGCGGTTTGGCCCTGGATCCCGCTGCGAAACGATTGGCTATGGGTGAATCTCTTCGTCCGCGCTTCCGCGACCTTTGTCACATTTACCCGTCATAGGTTACGCTTCGCAATCGATATTCGAGCGTCCGTACATGCTTATTGATTTCGTTGTTGATGATTAGATGGGTATAGCGAAGCGAATAGTTCACGCAAATTGCTGCTTTGTCCATGTTCCGCTCGGACTTTGTCGTATCGCTGCGCCACCTCCGCATCGCTTGATGTTGGCTTGGCGTTATAGCACTTAACCTGAAGCAGTAACTTCCATTCACGTTCTCATATTCACACCAGCATTCACTAGGGAATTCACTCGCTTTTCGCATCACAAATACTCACTGCACTAAGTATTTGTACTCGATTGTGCGGGATTGGAAAGAACGCCGCCGTCGTATCTACCATGAAGAGTCAGAGAAGGGACATGGGTACTACATCATCATGGGACATACCGAGCCAGCCCCAACTTCGCCCTCACGCAACTCCACTCCACCGGCGCTTAACGGACGGAATTGATGTCATCTACAAAATCTCACACCCTAACGAAAAGCCATGAAAGATATCGAAGCGCACAAGGGGTGTTAGAAATTCACTCGGTGTCGCGCAACCTTGAAAATCGCACGATACGGCGTAGTCCGCACCCCTCCAATTGGCTCACGCACTTCAAGCACTGATATGCTACGGCTTCGCCGCCATCATCCTTTCATTGTCGGTGTGATTGTTCTCGTAGCATATTTTTCCGCTGATCCCGCCTATTGTTGAACTCCTGACACCATATTGTCTTGCCACCTAGGCTCGCCTCCATATGACCTTCCTAGCAGCATCTTCTTTACCCCGATACCAAATGCGTTGGAAAATGCCCAAGCCTTCCGCTATGTCAATTTCCTTCCATCTCCTTCTCCACACTATATCCATTTCCATCTAGCTCTCGAATCCATTCTACTAGGGCGTACTCTATATAGACTTACTTTATATTATTAAAGAAATTACATTTAGTGGTTATGAAGAAATAGCTTCCGGTTTTTTTGGTAGAAAAATCGGAGTCTCGGGAGCCCAATTTATTATAGTACATGTAGTAACAATAAACCAAAAATCGAGAATGAAAATTTACAAATCACCTCCTTTATTCTACCTCTCTCCTTTATCATTCTTGATATTCATCTGCAATCCATCTAATCTCTTAGAATTGTATTCTCCATCAGGCACCCTTGGCCCTTAGTCTCTTTATTTTAACGTGTCACTGAAGGTATTCCTTTGGCGCATCACACACCTCCCTAGGGTATTCGGATCGTTCGCAACATTTGGACATAGTAGGATTAGGTAAGAGGCCAGTAGTACTAGACAAATTACCAATTCAAGAATCTATTCGAAATTCTATAATCACTCAACACCCTAGACCACTCCTCTCCATGGCGACCGCCGAATTTCATGGCTACTGTAGAGGAGAAGTGTCACGATAGGCACAAGGGCTACACTTTTCTAACGTAGCCACACAATCTACCACCGTAAGGTTATTCCGACATGCACAAAAGGAGATGCTCACATTGTCACTCTGACGAATTCGAGTCTCCGATTCTCAGCGTGCACAGACTTGCGACAAAGCTGCATGCGGTCTGAGAAGGAAGTGGCAGGCGGAAATGCGCCTCATGATCACTGGTCTTTAGGGCAGCTCCAGACTTCTGTGACCCCCGCGTTTGAGAGCAATGTGCAATGAAATTTGGGGGCCAGAACGTTGTCATTGTGGTCATGAGGCCGGAACGCGGAATTAGGCTACACCGGAATGCTGAGGCTTTCCAAGGTTGCTTCCAGCTTATTGATTTGGCCCAATATCCAGTCTGCACGCAACTTTTAATAGCCCGTTCCGGATTATCGTGGGTAGGATTGAATGTTATCCACTTCATAGGGGCACCCTCGTCACTGCCATGAGCCTCTTCGTGTACGTCATCGAAAAACAAACGTTAAATCATAGATTATAGGCTTTCGCGTCGCATACCCTACAGTGCCCCCATTGGCAGCCTCGACTCACGGTGATACGTGTAGCCGCCGAACCGCGATGCCAGGGCGCGACGGTCAGATTGAGTTGATGACTTTGCCCCAAACCTCAGTCTGCGAAGAGAGGCGCATTCAGGTAATATCCATAGCGAGTAACTGCGCATTGTGCTGCTGCGGCGGTCTCGTGGCGCTTGAGGCTCTTGTATGAAGGGCTGGAATGCTACAAGCCCTGTAACATGTGGATACCTGAAACTTTTGCCCGAACGCAGCCCCCTAAAAGGCAATCACCAGATCCCTCCGTAGCGCTTTTCTTATGGCAAGATTGCACGTAATGCTTTGCTAGGATTACTGGCTTTATTTAGCGGCTAGGTCCTTACAAATTATTTGATCTTCTAGAGGGAGACGACGACTTCGGCGAATTTCTATTGCCGAAAGGGGCATTGTCCGTACGCAGGAGCGATACGGCGCAAAGTATCCATCTGGCCCGGCATAGGATCACGTGGTTATACCACGTGATGCCCGTGCGCCGCGCGCCTCCTTTAATATCGCTCGCGTCCGTACATAGAAGAAGACAAGCAATGACCAGAAATCTGTTGCCCACCCTACCTACTCCGTACGCTGTGCACACCGTACATTACTCTTACTCTTGCTACTTAATACCTTAATTCTACCTTACTAAACACACCCCTAAGATTAATAACTTTATAAATAGTAAAAAACTAATATTTAGACAATAGTAAGCTTTAATTATTAATAAGCTTAACATTAATGCAGATTACTATTAAAGCAGGCGCGTACACATAGCGTTAGTATAGGGGACACTGCTAGCATTGTGAAGGAATACTTAGAGCTAGGATACCTAGCTAAATTAAACTAGTTTTAGTTTAAAAAAGCAAAGAACATAACAGCAATACTTTCCCACTCTAAATACTACTAATAGGGACTATTAGTCTATAGAGAGGGGGGTAGTGTAATAATTTACATAAATTATTTTATTAGGTTACCTAACAAACCTATATCTAAAGGTTCCTTGTATTGGCCCTAATCCTAAACTGGCCCTGACCCTGCCTGTAACGGCGCAGGCAAGAAAATGGGTCTGAATGCGGTAGGAATCCACTCAGAGGCATATGGGAGTGCGTGGGGATTCAATGACCTGGGAATTCCATTGACACCTATAGGCCTTGTCCAAAAGGATATCAGAAAACTACTGAGCTAGCTAAGGGGAGAGGTGCGACTAAATACTTGGGGGAATAGGGGTAACCGCGGGGGACAGGGTCAAGTCAGGGTCGGGGCTGATACGGGGACCCTTCGGATAGGTTCCGAGCGACCCGAGATGGAACGATTCATGAGAATCGTTACACTGCCCTAGCCCCTGCTGTACCCCTATTCCTCTAAGTATTTAGTTGCGCCTTTTCTCTGTAGCTAGCTTAGTAGTTTTCTGATATTCTTTGTACAAGGCCTATAGCTGTTAATGGAATTCCCAGGTTTCTGAGTCCCCACGCACTCCCATATGCCTCTGAGTGGATTCACACCGCATTCGGACCCGTTGTCTTACCTTCGCCGTTACAAGTACTATACCTAGAGAACCTTGATGGTAACACAGTACAGATATTAGCTTTAGAGGAGGTAGATAACAGCTAAGAGAAAGACTACAGTCTTACAATAACTAGAGTTAATGAGTACAGCGTGGGATTTAGAGGGGCTACAAGAGAGCTCTTCTCTCAGCTAGAGGGTGATGGCCCCTCGGAGAACTCTCAGCCCGTACCACCTAAGAGATCCTCTCTCATGCAATAGGGAGCTACACGTGGTAAAAATAATAATAATCGCGTATTACGCTACCTAGGATTGTGTGGGAGCCTGGGGGAGAGAAGCTCACCGAAGAGCTCACTAAAAAGCTGTATATGGCTATCTAAAAACAGAGGGTTGATCTCCCATCCCTTCAACCAAGGGATTCAAGCATATGTTCAGTCGCAAAATTTACCTCCATAACTTAAAGATCCCTCAAGAGCAGTGACAAGGTCGTCAGGTCCACAGGAAGCATTAATAGGGGTTTCCTCAAGAGGGCTTTGAAAAAGGGTGTTCGAAAAGGGGGACTAGACTTCTTCCAGTGCGCATTTCAGGTGTACAAACAGCACAAGATGAATCCAACTAAAAAGTCATCATCTCTGAGGACTCTGCAACACCTTCAAGGTCCATTCACCAATGAGCATCCTCCGTCCATTGTTGCAACCAGGGGCACTCTCCTATAACATAATACAATCCCTTTTTGCAGATTGGAAAATCTAACTAAATGTCAGGTTCAACGTCTCTCGATGCATCATCTTCTCTGCCTCAGCGTACTTCACCTGTTCACCTAGTTTCACCTGTTAGTGTCTGAGCGCTCCTCTCCTAGCACCTTCTCTTGCAGTGCCAACGTCTTGCGATAAATCCTCCCTAAATCCGCATACTCTCCCTATCGCTTAGTACCCTTGCCGCATTGCCTATATTGGCTAGCCTGCTTGGGTCCTCATTTTCTGGCACTTTCTCTACCAGGGTCAACGTCTCTCGGTGCATCTTCTCCGCCTCCGCATACTTCCCCTAGTCACTTAGGACCTCTGCCACATTAGCCACGCTTGTTAGCGTGCCTGGGTGCTCCTCTCCTCGAACCTTCTCTTTCAGTCTCAACGTCTCTTGATGCATCTTCTCCGCCTCTGGATACTTCCCCTAGTTGCTTAGCGCCTCTACCACACTACCCATGCTCGTCAGCGTGCCTGGGTGCTCCTTTCCTAGCGCTTCTCTCGCAGTGCCAACGCCTCTCGACGCCTCTTCTCTGCCTCCGCGTGTTTCCTCTGATTGCTTTCTGTCTCTGTCACATTGCCCATACTCGTCAGCGTCTATGGATGCTCATTTCTTAGCATCTTCTCTTGCAATGCCAACGCCTCGTGATGCATCTTCTCCGTCTTCGTATATTTCCCCTGATTTTTTAGCACCCCTGCCGCATTGCTCGTCATCATGTCAGGGTGCTCCTCTCCAAATATCTTTTCTCGTAGTGCAGATATCTCTCGGTGCATCTTCTCCGCCTCTACGTGCTTCCCCTGATCGCGTAAAGATCGCTTAAAGTTACCGCTATATTGTTTACGATTCCCAGTGCGTCTGGGTGCTCATTACCAATGACTCATTTCCTTATATTTCCTACCTCCGAAAAGAGCTTCTCGGCTTCTGCCTATCTTTCTTGAGAGAAAAGGGTAGATGCGAGGATAGTTTTCGCTTGAGTTTGGGAATGGTCGATATCAAACGCCACTCTGAACCCTTCAGCCTTCCGCGAACATTGCTCAGCTTCCTGATATTACCTCTGATGCCCAGCAAAAAGCTAAGGAACTGTAGACTGATAGCTTGTCTAAATTGTTAGAACCAAGGGTCATTTCACATCCCTCTTGGATCTGTTTAGCCCATTTTGCGGCCTCATTGTATTTCCCCTCGGCCATAAGCAGCCAAGATACGCTAAGCCCGTAATTTAGAGCGAGCACGTCTTTGGATTAAATAGCTGCTGGGTTCCTGTAGCAGCAGTGTCGTCGAGTTCCTAGAACGCTTACTGTATTTTCCATGCTCTGGAATAATAGGCTGTTGAGTGGCGCAGGGTCATGTAAAGTAGCAGATATGCATTTCGGAATGAACCAAAGTTAATGGCGGCCTCAGCATGAGGACGTAATGATTTACTCATGATCCAGTATCCATCATTTGGCGTAGGCGAAACGTCAAGAAGCGCTAGCAAGCTCTGTTTTTTAGTTTGTGTAAATCTACCCTCCCTTCTATCCGCTTCCATACTAATAGTTGCACAAGGCGGTCGGCTTGGTAACGATTCGACTTAACATCTTGGGAGAGAAAGGCGTAGTTTCCTAACATAATGATACCTTCATCAATGTCGTCCCTAAACATGTTGTACTTATTATGAGAATTTTGAAAGATCATTCCAGTCATCTCTAGTGTTTCTAGTAGGTACGCTTGGGAAGGGTTGGACATAACAGGAAGGAGTCTATAGCGCTAGTTAGTACAATACCTACGCGAATTATTGCAAAGCCCTTACAGAAGTACCCCGAAGGTTGTGAGAAGTGATCTGGCAATAGAAAGCTGCATCTTTAAATAGACCTCTATTATAATAGTGACTGCAATGGCAAAAAGAACGCTATAAACAGTGCGGTCATACGACTGCCATCTGCGGAATGTTAACTGATGAGATCAGACCCCGGAAGAGTAAATTAGAATTTCTGGGATCTCCGGCCGGTTGAAAAGCTTAGCACTGAGAGCAACGCAGTCTTAGTAAGCCTATCTGCTTGAATATCATGGAAAGATTTGTGCTAGGTCAGAACATTAGGGCTCGCTTGCTTGATATTCGTAGACTCCCGCCAGAGATCCCTGTAGGCTTGCTCGAGAAAGCCACCCTTTTTTACCCTTCTCTTTTAATTTCGACCAGCTATTGAGAGTGCACTTTGGAAATTTGTAGTTTAGGAATGCAGTAACCTGAGAGATAGCAAGTGGGATGCAGCCAAGGGCTCTGACAAGGCCAGGCGCTTTACCGTTGTCCCATCTGAAAGCGCAAAAGAGAGGGCAAGGTTGATTAGGGAAGAAGGGCCTGTCGTGGTTGGTGATGAACCATGGTTGAAGCAAATGACCGAACAACATTGGCCTTTTGATGGCTGTAACGAGGATGAGTAAGAATCGAAAAAGCCCAATAGGTTGTGGTATGCCCTGGTTCGGGATTGATGACCGGAGCGTGACTTGTTGGGAGACACGGAGGAAATCAAAGGCAGGTGCAACCAGCATGGTATAATGACCACAACTGGGAACTGCACTGTCCTTATGAACACCGTAATGCTGGACAGTCGCAGTAACAGATTCGAGTGCGGTGAAAAGTCGTTAGGCGCGCAAAGAAGACTTTCCGTCCACAAAACAATCCTCACATAAGAACATACTAGAAAGAAAAGACATGGTAGGAGAGGTTGTTTGGAATTGATCATTTCCCATTGATCCTAGGGAGGACTCTTGATTGATTTTGCCATTGTCGTGTTTTCCGAAAAGCAATGACACCTTTAACCAGCCAGAAACATGCCATGTGAATGAAACTGAGCATGAAGCCTTCCCCGCTTGCATCCTCTCGTTTCGGTGACTTCTGTAGTCGACCCGCCACCATCCGCCCTGTCCTGCAACTACCGTCCCCTCCCCTACATGACGCGGAAGAAATTATATCGAAGAAGGGTAAAGCATAACTCGGACGGACGCACCCTATAAAATTATTAGAGACGGTCTGAATGCAATGAGAAAATATGTACGCACGAAGCTCTTTGGTGGCAGGTTAGATCTGAACTTGGCGCGCACAACACCCGTGTTGCCTGTTATCAAGGCGTCAATTCATGTCCTATCTCAAGACGGAGGAGGGACGGACCGTGCGGACGAGTGACCTTGCCCCAGATGACTCGGATCTTGGTGCCCCGTACTGATCGCTGGGCCCGGTAGACGTAGGCTACGCGCTTACCGCAATACCATTGTGCCGCTGCCGTGTCGTCGACGCCTTCGAGCTTGAGAAGGGAGGTTCCGGGGTTGGTGTTGCGTTTTCTGTAGATTGTTAGCACAATTCATGGATAGTTCATTGCTGGGGTTCTTACCCTCGCTGGTAGGAAATGTGCTTGCCCCTAGGAAGAACGGATGTTAGCATTATGATCTCTGATTCCATTCCAAAGTGCGGAATTCCGTATGTATCCAGCCGGTTTCGTGGTTCCATTCCTGCAGCATATCCATCTAGACCAATTTAACGAATCTCCCCATTGGATCGCATCTCGTTGTCTTTTCCAATGATGATTAAGCTGTAGGTTGGAGAGCATGGAACAGGGAAGCACGAAGTCGCCGGTGACTCTGTCGGAAGTTCTTGGAGACTAGGGGAAGACGTAAAACTCACTTCACGTAGACTAAATAGTAGAAAAACTGTCAGCGCACGCAGTCGAACGGTTTGAGCCACGATCCAGTCTTTGGGGAAGGGTTGTTGAAGTTCTTTGCGCACTTCTAGGAGAATGGGAGGCTAAGACTTACGGCGGTGGGATTTCTCAGACATGGCGAGCAAGTCCTGGTCTCCGGAATTTGTATGGGATAGGTATCGAGACCGGAGTCGAGGTTGTGGTGCTGTCGAGTTAGTTTGGTCGTCGTGAGGTGAAGTTCACGTCGCGAATCCGGATTGCCAATGTGCGTCTTGGCGCTCTCGCTTAACGGAGCAAGAGCACGTGAATCGAAAGGGCAAGGCTGCCAAAGCCTCCCTCCCGGTTTATGCGATTCACATAGCAACACCATCCTCAGACAACCCATCAGCTATGCTATACGCAGCCACCAGCTGTGCAAAGGCCCTGGCCATATGCGCTCGAGGCAACATGTCGGGACTCTCTTTTCCAACCGCTCGCATCCTTTGGACTTCACCACTTCGTATTGGGTATCTCGTTTGTCCATCGTGGTTCTACTTTTTCCTACTCGCCCCCCCCCCCCCCCAACCGAGAATGGAGGCACTGGCTCTTCAAGTCATGCCTGGAAGATGGAGTCCCAGAATCCATCTCCCAACAGTTGTCGGCGGATAACGATTCCTGATTCCACTTTTGGGTGTGCAATTTGATATGTCAACCTACCGCCTCGCACTCTCACCCAGCTAGTAGCATGACTGATGGGAAACCTGAGTTGCAACGTCACTCCTTAAGATTTCTGTTGCTCGGCCTAAGACAAGTGCCGCAGTGGCTTCTATCGGCTAGCACACGAGGTCGGTGAGGTCAATTTCTTCGTGTCACGTCGTCGCGACACGACCAGCGGGGGAATTGGAATGCATCTCCGACCCTCGGAAACGCGCTGTTGAGCGGGATGCCATGGCAGCGGTAAGCGAGTATCCTTCAGCAGATGGCCTTAAGCACCGGCAAAGCTGCTTAAAAGTTTGCAGCCTCGCCGCGCGCTGCCAGGGCCTTAACAGCGTTCTGTTGTCACGATGCAACCCAAGGGGAGAGGAGCCGGCGCTTCTGAAACGAAGATGAATGTCCGCCTGAAGCCCCAAGACATGCCAACGCTTGTCCACTTTACTCACGGATGAAATAATATTTATTCCAGCGGCGTCCGGACTTCGGAGGAGCTTGAGCGAGGAGGGGGGAGCCGTCTTCAGGACAGCCTTTTCCAGGAACTGCCGGTGTAGTAAGGCGTGTACGCCAAACTTGACCACTGGCCAGTGGTTTGGATGTCTTTTTTCCAGCTCAGGGATACTCAAGACGCAACGCAGAGGTTGGCTGATGCCGTCCCGCGATTGTGTCGCAAAGGAATGGTGGGGTCGTCCGCACCCCTCGGCGTTAGTAAACCTTTGCTCCAGGCGGAGATCGTGGGATTCAGTTGGCTCCGGAGATGCTTTGCAAGACACCATAGGCTTAGTGATGCTTGATGACCTTGCTTTTGATTGCAAACCCTTTTAAATACATCAGTGCCCTTGGGGGATTGTTATTGCGAAAATCTCCCTCCATTCTATTGTTATCGGATTTCAAGGCGCAAGCGTAGCGGCACTCATTGCATCACCAGTGACCACCACAACCGTCGCAAACCGCCAAACAAGGGCCGGATAAACCCCACCACGCCACAAGCATTTCTCGACAACAACCTCCCGTCTGTTCTCATCCGCACTTTCACCAAGCGCTATCACTGAAATTCCCTTGCTCTACCTCGAGGACCTCCTAATTGGATCTTGATTCGACCTTTGGGGTCGCCTTCCCGCACAGCGAGCGCAATGGCGAGCACGGTCATGCAGCCAGACGTTGAGGCCAATGCTGGGTATGTTCCGCTTCCTCTCCCCGTAACGCCTCAGAAGCCTTTCCCGGTGCCGCATTTTCCTCTAGCGGTGCTTCGCGCATCTGCATGAAGCTTGAACCATGAATCTGCAGTTCTCCGGAGGGGCAGTGTGGCGCTTTTTGACCGGACTCCTCCGTGAAGCCCCGAGGAACTGAAGGCTGATCGCGTTGATAATGACAGCACCCTCGAGCTCAAGGACAACACCATCATAGTGGTATTGGGCGCTTCGGGCGACCTGGCAAAGAAAAAAACAGTAAGTGCTCCAGGAGGTACCCTAACAAGCCCTCACTGACTCCGTCAAGTTTCCCGCACTGTTTGGTCTGGTAAGCAAGGCTTGCTGTAACGGCCTCGCCCAGTCTAACCTCCAAATAGCACCGTAACAACTTCCTCCCTAAAAATGTCAAGATCGTTGGCTATGCACGAACAAAGATGGACCACGAGGAGTTCCTCCGCCGCGTCAAGTCCTACATCAAGACCCCAACAAAGGAGATGGAGCAGCAGTTGAATGATTTCTGCGGGATGTGCTCATATATTTCTGGACAATATGACGAGGATGCCTCGTTTATCAATCTCCGGAAACACTTGGAGGAGCTCGAGAAGGGACGGAAGGAGACGCACAGGGTCTTTTACATGGCACTTCCTCCGAGTGTCTTCATTGCTGTGTCGCAGCACTTGAAGCGGAACTGCTACCCCACTAAAGGCATTGCCCGGGTCATTGTAGGTTCAGCCTAGACCCCCTACCCCCACGAGGACATACAAATAACCAAAAGAGAACAGGTTGAGAAGCCGTTCGGCAAAGATCTTGCTAGCTCAAGAGAGCTTCAGCGAGCTCTTGCCCCCGACTGGACTGAGGATGAAGTCTTCCGAATTGACCACTACTTGGGCAAGGAGATGGTGAAGAATATTTTAATCCTCCGATTTGGTAACGAATTCTTTGGCGCGACCTGGAACAGGAACCACATAGATAATGTTCAGGTGGGGAAGGTTCGGTGGCTAGAAGAATGTGCCAGTCGCTGATCCTGCAACAGATCTCGTTCAAGGAACCCTTCGGCACAGAGGGTCGCGGTGGCTACTTCGATGAGTTCGGCATCATTCGCGACGTCATGCAGAACCGTGAGTGCTCATCGCCCTAGGTCTTCTAGGACTACTCACATGGTATCTAGATTTATTGCAAGTCCTCACCCTTCTCACGATGGAGCGACCGATCTCCTTCTCCGCCGAAGATATTCGAGACGAAAAGGTACGATGATTCTGTCTGGTGTACAATGATCAGGAACACTGACTGTGGCGAAGGTCCGAGTCCTCCGAGGGATGCCGGCAATCGAGCCGAAGAACGTCATCATTGGACAGTACGGAAAGTCTTTGGACGGTGCTAAGCCAGGATACAAGGAGGATGACACAGTCCCTAAAGACTCACGATGCCCTACCTTCGCCTCAATGGTCGCCTATATTAAGAATGAAAGATGGGATGGCGTGCCATTCATTCTGAAAGCCGGAAAAGGTACATCACTGCGCTGTCGGTTGTAGAAGAATGAATGCTGATGGTATGCAGCTTTGAACGAGCAGAAGACGGAGGTCCGCATCCAGTTCAAGGATGTCACATCTGGAATTTTCAAGGACATCCCGCGCAACGAGCTTGTCATTAGGGTCCAGCCCAATGAGAGTGTCTACATCAAGATGAACTCCAAGTTGCCTGGTCTCAGCATGCAGACCGTCGTCACAGAGCTCGACCTTACCTACCGACGGAGATTCTCCGACCTCAAGATTCCCGAGGCGTACGAGTCGCTCATTCTCGATGCCCTGAAGGGTGACCACTCCAACTTCGTCCGAGACGACGAGCTTGATGCAAGCTGGAGGATCTTCTCCCCTCTACTGCACTACCTCGACGACAACAAGGAGATCATTCCCATGGAGTATCCATACGGTAGGAAGACAAGATAATACATTAAAGCCAAATCTTGAATGAAAACTGACGCCTCACAGGCTCCCGCGGCCCTGCCGTGTTGGATGACTTCACTTCGTCCTATGGATACAAGTTCAGCGATGCAGCAGGTAGGACCTAACCTCTGCAGAACTCTTACTAGCCCGTCATATTGACGCATGCGGTACAGGTTACCAATGGCCAATGGCCAACTCAGAGAAGTTGTGAAACTGCATTCTCTTCCTGCGTGAAAAGTAATTCTCCTGGAGTGGTTTGGTAGGATAATCGGGAACACTTTCTAGGCGGTTAAGGGTGGCAGGATAGCACAGCAAATATCTTGGTCTAGGCAATGCAAAGGCACGATCTCAATCTCATAGAGAATTTCAATGTCGTTGGAGCTTTTGATAGAGTGCTATGCGAAGCTGCTCTCCTTTGGTCGTCATGTCTGAATAGGTGGCAGGGCATAGAATTGCCTGAACGAGCGAAACCAGCCTCATATTCGACCTGCATGAAGATCTATTATATGCTAATAATAGATATCCATGTTCGCAAGCACGATCTCCCGAATTCAATCTGCATCCCCGGAACCCGCTGTTGCATGATGGCCGAAAGCGGAGCTTCTTAGCTTGATGAAAGAAGCTGTGGCTTTTATTAACCACCAGCCACACTTTCGGGCGGCGGCATGGCCGGACCTACACGGCTAGCCAGATTGCATCATTCGGCTCTACCACAATTTTCCGTTTTTCTCGTCAGGTTGACTCAGGAGACGCTGACTCGGAGCTAGTATTTATTGAAAGTCCGAAGGGTCGATATCGTATTGTTTGCATACGGAGGTTTTTGTTGGATTGTCTGGATTACTTGGGTTGCTAGGTGAGTTACATCGTTTTGTCCACCTTGTTCTCTAGTGACAAGCCTACTTGTTCGCTATTGCTAACTGTTGAAGAAATCAAAAAGACAGGCCAGCAAATTTAGATCACTTCCATGTGCTATCTCTATTAATATCCCCATTTTTCTCCCTCTCGACGACGTCCGATCGTCGAACTCCCACATCCCCGCAATCATCCCACCTTCCTCGAAAATGACGCCGCCGAAGGATATCGAAGGCAGAGCCAATAGTTTCGCGAGAACAGTGTCGAGCAGCTTGTCTCTAAGCACGAGCCCAACTCTGGCCTTCCACAGCCCACCATCGAGCTTTAGAAACCCCCCGCACCCTAGCTCAACGGATGGGAGACCAGGAAGTCTATCAGGGATTTCTCCGGTCGTAGCAGCGAAGCAACTGAAACCTTTCCATACCAAAGACGTCAAGGTGCTATTGTTGGAGAATGTGAATCAGACCGGCGTAGAAATACTCAAGGGGCAAGGCTACCAGGTCGAGGCGCTCAAGAGCAGCCTTCCGGAAGATCAGTTGATCCAGAAGATCAGGGAAGTACACGTTATCGGGATACGGTCAAAGACCAAGCTCACAGAGCGGGTTTTGAAAGAAGCAAAGAATCTCATTGTCATTGGTTGCTTCTGCATCGGCACAAACCAAGTTGACCTTCGGTGCGCGGCACTGCAGGGTATCGCGGTATTCAACTCGCCCTTCAGTAACTCGAGGAGCGTTGCCGAGCTCGTAATAGCCGAGATAATTGCCCTCGCACGCCAATTGACGGACCGTTCCATGGAGCTGCATAATGGGACATGGAACAAGGTCAGCAAGGGTTGTTGGGAAATACGTGGCAAGACACTGGGCATTGTTGGATACGGGCATATCGGCAGCCAGTTGTCAGTGCTCGCCGAGTCAATGGGCATGTCTGTTATCTATTACGATATACTCAACTTGATGGCGCTGGGTACAGCACGTCAAGTTGCAAGTTTGGATGACCTGCTCGACCAGGCGGACTTCGTCTCCCTTCACGTGCCAGAGACACCGGATACGAAGGACATGATCTCGAAAGAGCAACTCGCAAAGATGAAGGACGCCAGCTATCTACTCAACAATGCGCGGGGTAGTGTAGTAGACATTCCTGCACTCGTCGAAGCCATGAGGGAGGGCAAGATCGCGGGCGCTGCGCTGGATGTATATCCAAATGAACCTGCAGGCAATGGCGATTACTTCACCAACGACCTCAACTCCTGGACCAAAGATCTGCGCAGTCTCAAGAACCTGATCCTCACGCCCCATATTGGGGGAAGTACAGAGGAGGCGCAGAGTGCTATTGGCATTGAAGTCAGCACATCGCTGGTTCGCTACGTCAATGAGGGATCAACTCTTGGCGCTGTGAATATGCCAGAAGTCAGTCTTCGTTCGTTGACGCTTGAGGAGCCCAACTGCGTACGGGTTATCTACATCCATAAGAATGTGCCTGGTGTGCTGCGACAGGGTATGTTTATCAACCGATTGCATCGCATCTCACCGTATCTAACGAAATCCAGTGAACGCAATTCTCGCGCATCATAACGTCGAGAAGCAAATGACTGATTCAAGAGCAGAGGTGTGTTCTTCCTTCCCCAGGCGGTGAAAATAGAATATGGAGTGTACTAAATTTCTTTTGAAGGTGGCGTACCTCATGGCCGACATCAGCGAGGTCAAAGAAGAAGAAATCAAAGACCTCTGGCAGAGCCTCGAGGAGCTTTCATGTATGTATCCCGACAAGTTGCTGAGAACGAATTGTGTGCGGCTCGTCGGACTAACTGCGGCAACAGCTCGTATCCGGACGCGGGTGCTCTATTAAGTGTTGTGTTAAGCTTTGGGTGCAATGATCAAGGTTTGGGACGTGAAACGGGACAGGCGCGGAGATAAGTTCTTCTCAACGAAGATGTGGGAAAAAAGCATTCAACATGGCGTTTGGTGGGAAAACTCAACATTCCATTCGAGAAAACAGGACGCATAAGGAGGGTTTCATTTTAGGGGTACAAAAGATCTGGCGATGACGGCAAGGTCTGAGACGTCTTGGCACGATAGGTAGGCATGATGTTCGCGCGTCGAGTACCAAGGTACATTACACTAGGAGGCAAGGGGATGAGAATATCATCTGAGAGATCTGGAGCGGTTTGAAGCATGTAATGTTTACAAGGGCGTGGCTTGCGAATCCTCATTAGCTGGATGAGGGCGATTTCGTTTTAGACGGCCTCCCTGCTTTGCTTTGATTATAGGGCGAGTTCCGGGTGGTGTAGCTGTGAATAGCATAGAGGCGTTTGAGAAGTGATTGTGCCGAAGAAGCAACGCCCGGACGGCGGCGACTGCGCGAATTGAGCGGGCCTGTCAGCAACGGAGGATGAAAGGGTTTTCTTGCACCCATCCATCTGCAGGTGTACGAAGACTGCATGCTGGTGAGACAGGACCGTCGCCCCTCTCTCCAGGTGTTCTTGGGCCTGCTTGGTTGGCCGTGCAGCGTTGGGTGCTCAGGGGCCAGTGCATGTTGGCGGTGAGCTTAGCGAGCCTATCCCCGGTCGCGGAAACTTGGTGAAAGTCGGGCGGACGTCCGTGTTCCACCATCACTGATTGACACCACGACTGTGGACTGCTAAATTATTCTCCTCTCAACTTCTAGACCTACACTCTCTCCTGGATGCCCTGACACTGCCACTCTTCCTTCACCGGATGCGGACTTTTATGCCATCGACGGCGGCATCTACATAGTGAGCTGGAGTTGAGACGAGGTGCTTTTCTTTACCGCTGGTTTGAATAGCTGAAAGGGAGGTCCCTGGACCGTTGGCTCCCACCCCATCAACGGCCACGACAGAGACAGCAACGGCGACGGCGACAGACGATATGGCCCACATTTACGACGTTGGAACGCGGGCATGGCAGCCGGACCCGACCGACGGCTGGGTGGCCTCTGAGGTCACTGACAAGAAGGTGGAGGGGGACAAGGTGAAGCTGTTCTTCAAGCTTCAGAATGGCGAGGTACGTTTCCGGTGGCTGCTGTGGGCTTTCTATCTTCTGAGGAGGACTATGCTGATGCCCGTGGACGCAGACCAAAACAGTGCAGACTACCATTGCCGCCATCCGGGACGGCAACGACCCGAATCTCCCGCCGTTGATGAACCCGGCGATGCTCGAAGCCAGCGATGACCTTACCAATCTGTCGCATTTGAATGAGCCGGCTGGTAGGACCCACTCCTCCCTCCTTTTCTGGAGCTACACTGACATGTCGGCGTAGTGCTCCAGGCGATCAAGCTGCGATATGCGCAGAAGGAGATTTACACTTACTCGGGTATTGTCCTGATTGCCACGAACCCCTTCGCGAGGGTGGACTCGTTGTATGTGCCTGGAATGGTGCAGGTCTATGCGGGAAAACAGAGATCCTATGGTGCCCCGCATCTGTTTGCCATTGCGGAGGAAGCTTTCGCGTACGTGCATCCCCCCTCCACCTCGGTTGCTAGTGTGCATAGAGTTCGGAGATACAGTATATCTTGAAGAGAATGAAGCTGACACAGGCACAGAGACATGCTCCGCGACCAGAAGAACCAGACCATTGTCGTATCTGGAGAGTCTGGAGCTGGTAAGACCGTCAGCGCCAAATACATCATGCGATATTTTGCAACGCGAGAATCCCCGGATAGTCCCGGCAAGCGGTCAAGAGGCCGCGCAGACGCCATGAGCGAGACAGAAGAACAGATTTTGGCTACCAATCCCATCATGGAGGCTTTTGGTAACGCCAAGACCACTAGGAACGACAACTCTTCCCGATTCGGTAAATACATTGAGATCATGTTCAACAAGCGAACAGACATCATCGGCGCAAAGATTAGAACATATTTGCTCGAACGGTCGAGATTGGTGTTTCAGCCACTCAAGGAGAGAAATTACCACATCTTCTACCAGCTAATTGCGGGTGCCACAGATCAGGAGCGCCAGGAGTGGAGTCTGAAACCAGTTGAGGAGTTTGAATACCTCAACCAGGGCAGTTCGCCGACGATTGCTGGTGTTGATGACAAGGCGGAATTCGACGCTACACGGAAATCTCTGACAACAATTGGAGTGTCTACGGATACTCAGCAACAAATTTTCCGCCTCCTTGCGGCCCTGTTACATCTGGGAGATGTAAAGATTACTGCGACTCGAACAGACTCCGCCCTCGATCCCGCAGAGCCGGCCCTCGTCAAGGCATGTGGGCTGCTCGGAATTAACCCAGCCAACTTTGCGAAATGGACTGTGAAGAAGCAACTGATTACAAGAGGCGAGAAGATTATGTCAAATTTGACCCAACAGCAGGCCGTAGTTGTTCGGGACTCAGTCGCCAAATTTATTTATTCGAGTCTGTTTGATTGGTTGGTCGACATAACCAACCACAGCCTTGCCACAGAAGAGGTTATCAGCCACGCCACCTCGTTCATTGGTGTACTCGATATTTACGGTTTCGAGCATTTTGCAAAGAACTCATTCGAGCAGTTCTGTATCAACTATGCGAACGAAAAACTGCAACAAGAGTTCAACCAGCACGTTTTTAAGCTCGAGCAAGAGGAGTATCTCCGGGAACAGATCGACTGGACATTTATCGACTTTTCCGACAACCAACCTTGTATTGACCTTATTGAAGGCAAGCTCGGTGTTTTGTCGCTACTTGATGAAGAATCGCGTCTCCCCATGGGTTCGGATGAGCAGTTCGTGACCAAGCTTCACCATAATTTCGCCGCAGACAAGCAGAAGTTTTATAAGAAGCCTCGCTTTGGAAAATCTGCGTTTACTGTCTGCCATTACGCTGTGGATGTCACCTATGAATCCGATGGATTTATAGAAAAGAACAGAGACACCGTGCCGGATGAGCACATGGAGGTCCTCAAGGGCTCCTCCAATAAGTTCCTTGGGGAAGTCTTGCAGGTTGCTGCATCGATTAGGGAGAAGGAGACTGCCGCCACTGCATCAGCGAGGCCAGGTGCTGCCATGGCTGCGGGACGCAGGATCGCTGTGAACCGGAAACCGACTCTTGGAGGCATTTTCAAGTCTTCTCTGATCGAGCTGATGTCAACTATCAACTCGACTGACGTCCACTACATCCGATGTATCAAGCCGAACGAGGGTAAGGAGGCGTGGAAGTTCGAAGGCCCCATGGTTCTCAGCCAGCTCCGAGCTTGTGGTGTTCTAGAGACTGTGCGAATCAGTTGTGCGGGTTATCCCACAAGATGGACGTACGAGGAATTCGCCTTACGATACTACATGCTGGTGCCATCCTCACACTGGACTCCCGAGATCCGTGATATGGCGAAGCAGATTCTTCGGAGAGCTTTGGGGGCAGGCAAGAATGACGGAACCGACAAGTACCAGATGGGTCTCACCAAGATCTTCTTTCGTGCTGGTATGCTTGCTTTCCTTGAGAACCTGCGAACTGCCAGACTTAACGACGCCGCAATCATGATCCAAAAAAATCTTCGGTGCAAGTATTATCGACGCAAGTATCTCGAAACACGCGCTTCGATCATTGCTTTGCAATCCTTGGCTCGCGGTTACATCGAAAGAGAACGTGCGGAAGAGGCCAGGCAAGTCAAGGCCGCGACCACCATCCAGCGTATCTGGCGTGGCACCAAGGATCGGAGAGCATTCCACGTCATCCGCAACTCCGTCATCTTGTTCCAGGCCACAGCAAAGGGACACTTGCTTCGCAAAAACCTTATGGATACTCGCCTCGGCAATGCCGCCAGAATTATACAGCGCAACTGGCGACAGCAAAGGCAACTCCGATCCTGGAGGCAGTACAGGAGAAAGATTGTCATCATACAGAGTCTCTACAGAGGAAAGAAGGCTCGTGTCGAATACAAGTCTCTTCGCGAGGAAGCCCGCGATCTCAAGCAGATCTCCTACAAGCTGGAGAACAAGGTCGTCGAGCTTACACAGTCTTTGGGTACGATGAAGGCTCAAAACAAGGCCCTGCAGAACCAAGTCGACAACTACGAAGGCCAGATCAAGTCATACAAGGAGCGGAGTCGTGCACTCGAGACCCGGCAAAAGGAGCTTCAGGCGGAAGCCAACCAGGCTGGTATCACGGCTGCCAAATTGAGCGCCATGGAAACCGAGTTCAAGAAGCTGCAGACCAATTACGACGAGAGCACCGCCAAGATGCGTCACTTGCAGGAGGAAGAGAAGCAGCTCCGCGACTCGCTCAAGAGGACTACGGAGGAACTCGACTCGGCCAAGAGGAGGAGCAATGTCACGGAGACAGAGAAGATGTCTCTTCGACAACAGCTAGCCGATCTGCAAGACCAGGTCGAGATGCTCAAGCGGTCAGGACCGATCAATGGCGAGATGACGAACGGCCACGGACCAATTGGCGGCCCAATTATGGGCGCCAGCAGCTTGATCAAACTCGTGTCTTCGAAGAAGCCAAAGCGGCGCAGTGCTGGCCCCGACACCCGCGACTTGGATCGCTTCAGTTCTTCATACAGCCCGCGACCCGTGTCGATGGCTATTGGATCTACCATCCACCGACAGAACCTCTCTGGCTCTACGTTCAACCCTAACATGGATACTATTGAGCTTGAGCTTGAAAACATCCTTGCTGATGAAGACATGCTGAATGATGAAGTCACACTCGGTCTCATCAAGAATCTCAAGATCCCATCCCCCACCACCACTCCACCACCTACCGATAAGGAAGTTCTGTTCCCCGCTTACCTCATCAACCTTGTCACCTCTGAGATGTGGAACAATGGCTTCGTCAAGGAGTCCGAGCGCTTCCTTGCCAATGTCATGCAATCGATTCAGCAAGAGGTTATGCAGCACGACGGCGACGAGGCAATCAACCCTGGCGCTTTCTGGCTGTCCAATGTCCATGAGATGCTATCTTTTGTCTTCCTCGCTGAAGACTGGTATGAGCAGCAGAAGACCGACAACTACGAATATGACAGGTTGTTGGAGATTGTCAAGCACGACTTGGAGAGTCTTGAGTTCAACATCTATCATACCTGGATGAAGGTGCTTAAGAAGAAGCTGCATAAGATGATTGTTCCCGCAATTATCGAGTCGCAGTCGCTACCAGGCTTTGTCACGAACGAGAGCAACCGGTTCCTTGGCAAGCTACTCCAGACTAACAACGCCCCGGCCTTTAGCATGGACAACCTGCTCAGCCTGCTGAACAATGTTTACAAGGCGATGAAGGCTTACTACCTCGAGGACACGATCATCACTCAGACAGTCACCGAGTTGCTAAGGCTCGTTGGCGTCACAGCCTTCAATGATCTCTTGATGAGGAGAAACTTCCTCTCCTGGAAACGCGGTCTTCAAATCAACTACAACATCACCCGCATCGAAGAATGGTGCAAGTCACATGACATGCCTGAAGGTACTCTCCAGCTTGAGCACTTGATGCAGGCAACCAAGCTTCTCCAGCTCAAGAAGGCCACGCTCAACGACATCGAGATCATCCAGGATATCTGCTGGATGCTGTCACCTAACCAGATCCAGAAGTTGCTGAATCAGTATCTTGTCGCGGACTACGAGCAACCCATTAACGGCGAGATTATGAAAGCGGTAGCGTCGAGAGTGACGGAGAAGAGCGATGTTTTGCTGCTCACAGCTGTGGATATGGAAGATTCGGGCCCGTATGAGATTGCGGAACCGAGAGTTATCTCAGCGTTGGAAACCTATACACCTTCTTGTAAGTCTGATCTGATCTATACTGACTGCTCTTGGAGTGGTAGGGATTGTAACTAATTTAGGGGAAATAGGGCTTCAAACTCCTAGACTTAAGCGCCTCGCGGAAATTGTGAGTCAGCAAGCTATCGCGCAGCAGGAGAAACTGGAATATGAGCAGACTAACGGCGATGAGAATGGGTTGGGGATGAACGGTCATGAGGCTATGATTGAGGAAGAAGTAGCTGCGTAGAGAGAGCATCAAGATTCCTTGTTTTTGAATGGACGGGACTGGGGTGGGTTGAGCGCAGTATTTTCTATTTTAGACGTCTAAACATGAGAGATGATCAAAACCTGATGAGCTTCCGAAGCTGGAGTCGGGGCTGTAGTGTAGGCTAGGCCAGTCTATAGTTTCCGCATTAAGTGAGGAGGGGGTGGGTAGGGTACGCAGGCATGATGTTGGGTATGTAATGTGGAAATGTCTTTGACTTGTTTGAACTCTTTTGTGGTTCTGGGAGGTTGAGTGGAGATTCTTTTTGTTAACTTCAATACCTGATTGTGGTAAGGGTATCGTTTGGAACACCTTTTGACGAGGAAGAGCTTTGTGGGAAAGGCTTGTTTGTGCATAATTTTGGGTGTGTGTCTGTAGGGAGGCAGTTTTTTTTTTAATGAATTTGAATGCGGGACGGTCGAGTGATTTATCTGCTTATGTCCTGTTGACTTTGTGAATTAGAAACTATCACATCAAATGAAGGACTGTATTGCGGAGAATGCATCCTTGGATTAGTTCGCATAGCAACCTCCTTTGACCTATTTGGTAAGTCACCGGGGATTCTACCTCGCCGTAACATTATTGTAAAGCCATAAGTCTTCACATCGCTCATCCACAATTCTCCAGTGAGTCAATTAGTCTGACAGGTTTAAGCGGAAGGGAATTAGCGGTAAGGATTGAAGGAGTGGGGGAATCAAGGGCTTAGTTCGAATCCCTTTACCCTTTGTTTGTGCCTCTTTTGCTACAAAGCTACTCGAAGCACATTTATGAACCGGCAGTTGGGGGAAAGGCTAGAACTTCACTGCGCTTACCGTCGAGTGAAGTCATAAACCGAAGAATAGGCGAAGATAACAAATACCGAATTCAAGACGTGGTCCTTGCTTACTGTCCTTCAGCCCCGAGAGCCATGCATCAAGCCTCGTAAATGGAAGCATTTGCCATATTCTGGCTCCTGCCTAAATAGCTGATGATATTGCTCCTCCGGCCTCTCCTCCAGGCTCTTCGAGAAAAACTCTCTCTGGTATGTATTCCTTACTGTCGCTCTCGTATTTAAATTTACATTTTCTCTAAAGTCTCTGAGTGTCAATACCAGTGAATAGGATCCCGAACAAAGCTATAAGTGCCAATACCCCCGATAAGAAAGGTATGAGCTCCTGGCTCGTGCTGAACTTGCACTCTGGAGTAAGTTCATCGAGCAAATAAGATATTAGTAATACGAAAGCGGAGCATTTTGTCGTGCTAGTCGATGGAGATTCCGTTGCAAATATCGCGCTTTTGTAGAGAAATATAGAACAAGTTTTGCACGCACCTTAGATTGAAATGGCACCCGACAATTGCGGCACTGGCTGATGCTATACTGACCATCGAATGATAAGAATGGGGAGCGGTACCTAAGAAGTAGTTAATGGAATACCTAAATTACCCTTTTATGAGACCAATAGCGAGCCCGGCAATAGTTCTATTAGATTGAAGATTTCGTGCAACTGTATTATTAGAAACAAAAAAAAGCATCTATACCTCTTGAGGGGACAAGGCTGAAACTTGGGCGGGGTATCCTGCTGTTCAGCGGGATGATGCGGTGTCGAGGTTAATCGCTCATCCTTGTTTCTGTCCAAAGGGTTGGATGGCATGCATTGGCCTGTCTAAATCTCGTAAAGGTTCGGGCATTCGGAGGGTAGGTCCTAGATTTGACGGAAGGCGCAAAGGCGGCGTTTCCACTTCATGCCCCCCGTTGGTGGGCATTTTCCTCGGCTCACTGAGACCGCCCGCTGGTGCCCTATAAGGTTAACTGTGTTGGCTGCCCCTAAACTTCTCGTCCTTCATGCTACCGTCTCACACCCCAGGGTATTTTTAGCCTTGCAAGGAGCATGCTTTATGAGAGAATTCTTGTGGACTGAGGGTCTAAGGAGTTATGTGATTTATATTGTACTGCAGGACGCCAAGCCTATGGTTGATGGGGCTAGCTAGGGTAAAGACTCAGGATTGCAGTATTTACTTCCATTTCCCATGATGGCGTTGGTGATAATGGAAGCCTAGCACCTGTGACAGTGCTATGCATGCTAAGGGGTGGCGGCCGATCACCTTTGCCCGTATCTGTGCCCGCGCTTAAGAACGATCAATAGTTGGCGTTTCCCAGAGACTGAACGCTTTGTATGACAGAACCATTGCACTACTCATGAACCCCAGCATGCCTCAGATGAAGTGGTAGCATATGTGGAGGTGCATCCATATGAATAGATAGGGGTAGAGGTGGGTGGAGATAGAGAGCTTCATGGAGGACAAGAAAAGACAGTGCTAGCCTGATAGGTTAGTGTAATTCGTTTGAGTAGCGAGAGTGAATAGTTCCATAATTTGCTGGTAGCCAGCCAGCCTCAAACATGAACCAAATCTCAACCAGTTCCGCAATACAAGTGATAGCTTATTAGGGCGCTACTATTCATCTATCATCCTACCTGACACCTCCAGCATCCCCCAGGAGTTATCTGAGATGGACTTGGATAAATATGGGCAGTATGGATAACTCAAAAGTGTCAATGCATGTCTTCATCCGTTGGATAGGCAACCTCATCGACTCCAGATTGTTGTATGCTACAAGTAATGCCGGGTTGCCACTCAAAAAAGTACCAAAGTTCTAAATGCATAGACCGAAGATGGAGAGGAATTCGAAATAACTCAAGCAGATGTGTTGCCTTCTCCAAGGCCTCCTAAGAGTAGACCAAGAGAGATTAGATAGTAAGCAGGAGCTAGCATAGGTGCGAAACGGTCGGAATTCATGGCGTTCTAACGAGCAGTGTAGACTTAGTGCTTTCCTGAGGCAGGGGGTATTTGATGCATGATTTGAGTGACGGTGATGCAGGTACGTGAGCGGGCAGCTCTAAGGGATGCAAATGTGGTCACAGTCAAATGGGTTGTGCGTTTATGCCCGGGTGGTTTCTGTGGACGATGTGCACGAAAACGATTCACGAGCTGTGTGTTGCCGTGAATGTCCGCGTGAGAGGGGCATCTTTTGGGCGGTGTGGTAGTCTTGGCGTGGCTTGTAAGCATGATTTCCGTTTTCGGTCTTCAACATCCGGCTGAACCCCATCACACTTCCTTCACTTCAGCCTTCCATCGTGCGCTTCTGCCTGCATCACTGTCTCATATATTGACGAAGACCCTCACCACGATTGATCTCTATCCTATGACATACCTAAGACGATGCGTCGTCATCGTAGGAAAAGTGGATTGCTAAACCCTTGGTTCTGAGAGAGCCGCGTAGCGCTAAGCCACGGCTTGCTCAGCAAGCAACCTACTTAGTTGACGTTTGGTCTCTGCGACTATTCACAGGCGTAGGCGGCGATACAAGACAAGCAGTTTGCGTACGTCTTGGATTGAAACCCCGTTTGCGACCCTTCACCCTCCTTCTGGAAATCGGTTTTGGAGCTGAGGTCATGGCCAACACGGAGTTGCTGGATTGTCCTCTTTGCGCTTTCTCAGTGCTCCAATCTGACAACTATGTCCTGCAATTGCATTTCGAACAAGTCCACACCTCAGACTCTCCCTTCCAGATTCAAAATGACCCGGAGCCGCTACCGCCAGCATTGCCAGCAAGGCCTTCCTCGAACCAACCTAAACACGTGGGCTCAGACACACCTTCCGAAGACGAAGACGAAAACAGTGTTCTTTGCCCAGAGCCCGACTGTGGCGAGCTTGTTCTCCTCACCGACTTCAACGATCATCTCGACTTGCACGCCGCAGAAACATTATCATTTGACGAGGCTACCGGAACGTATCATCATCACAAACGACCATCATCAGACAATATGCAGGCTTTAACCCATTCAAATCACCATACAGGAGCTTCGAAACAATCATTCCTAGAGCAGAACTTCAACACGGCTTTACCGGACGCTCTGAGAAGAAATGATGACAGTGGACGCAAGTTGAAAAAGAAAATCAGAGGTAGGGGTGACTCTAGTGGCAGTGAGAAGAGTACGCTTGCCAGAAGTATTCTCAGCTTCAATCCGTTTGCGAAGCAGAGTAAGATCGTGAAGCCGCCACCTAGCAGCATTCGCCTTGGCGTAAGTCATCACCCTCCTTTATCTACTTGTTTGTATATTAACGGTATCCTAGAGGGCTGAACTTGGTCCCCATGCCTGGGAAGACCGCATGCCCAGGTGGCTACATGATCAGCTTGCAGCCGGTCCTAAGGTTATTCTTGTCAACAAGATCGGTCGAGATGGCCGCCTCATCAAGCAAGAGGTAGTGCAGAACGAGACTCCGGGAGTCATTCCTATTCTCGCTCAGCTGTCGGCGCTGGATCGTTCTGTTAGGGAAGCTTATTACTGCCATCCATCGACTCTCCATGTCGGCAAGACACCAAAAGAAGGTGGCTTTTGCGGTTACCGCAATATTCAGATGCTCATATCCTACATTCAAGGTGCTCATGCTCAAGGGTATGAGGATTTCACCGGACGTACACCAGGCATCTTGAGGCTTCAAGACCTTATTGAAAGGGCTTGGGACAAGGGTATCAATGAGATCGGGCGTGCTCAGACCGGTGGTATCCGCGATACCAGGAAGTACATTGGTACTCCAGAGGTGCGCTTCTCATTGCCCCTTCCCTTAATGCCAACTACTGACACGGCTACAGGCACAAGCGCTCTTTCTTAGTTCCCAAATTGACTGCGGGGTCGAGATGTTTAGTGACTCGCCCGACGGCCAAGTCGAAGCCCACGAGCTTCTCCTCCTCGCTGTCGAGAGATACTTCGCGCAAGCCGCCGTCGACGACGGTTCGAATGTCCACAAAACGCTTCTTCCACCCATCTATCTCCAACAACCAGGCCATTCACTCACCATCGTTGGCTTCGAGCGCCGCAAGGACGGCAGCTGCAACTTGATGATATTTGATCCTATGTATAACACTAGCCCGGCTATGCATCGACTGATTGGTCGCAAGAATATCCGGAATAGTCGACCTGAGGTTCTTTATGCATATCGGAGGGTAGGGAAGCAACTGAGGAGGCATGCTGCTTTTGAGATTCTTATGTGAGTGTATCTGCATATCATTGATTTTTGCGTGGGCTGACTGGGGATTAGGCTCACAGCACATCCGCCTCTGTTCCCGGCTTGGGATGTATGAGAATCATCCTCTACGCCCAAATCCGCTTCACTTGATTACATAGATACCCAGTTCCATCTGCTATCTAGACCAGTATAGTCTTAATGAGCTCATGCCAATTCTCACGAACACACCTACGTTTCCTAAGCACATCATTTGGTTCACTCTTTTGCTAAAATGTGTCATACTAGGTCCTCCGCCAGTTCCCTGACTGCCGCTACCTCTATGTCTTCTTCCGCTCCCGTACTCTCGGCTACGACGTTTACCCCGAAGACCACTTCCTACGCAATTTCCCCTGGCAACAGTATGGCGGCCTCTGGGTGGTTGATGACGCCCGCTTCGCCCGATCTGACAAAATCAATCCGCTTACGGCCCAAGCACTTCGTCGACTCACTAGCGAAGGATCCTCTTCTGGATATGGATCTGGATCTTCGAGACACGATAGCATGTTCTCTGGCGGAGGCGAATCTTTCAACAGTGGGTCGTTCAGTCATTCGTCTGGAGGTCCGAGGGGAATGCGAAGTGGAGCGTCTACCAGACACACATCCTTCATGTCCTCTTTTGACGGCACACTGCCTATTGCGTCCACGCCCATCAAACAAGAACTTAATGCCCTTAACCACGCCCTCGACATGCTTGGAATGCACACGGCGCAACCCCTCACCCAACCAATGCCAACTCGCCTCCAACCACCAGTACTTTCCATTCAAACTGGTTTCGGGAGAAAAGTCCCCGGTTACCCGACTCCCATTTCCCCAACCTCCAGCGCAAAGGCTTGGTACCCGTCCCCTTTATCTGATGCCGGAAGCGGCATCGTGACGCCTCGAGCCGGAAGTCCAATGAGCATCGACGGGTCGGAGGTGTGTGGGCCAGCTCATCTGTGCCTGTCTCATTCGTATGAATCCTACAGCTCGCAACTTTATCAGACCGTCCCTGGTACTGTGAACGCAAAAGGCCAGGTTAAAGATTCCGGATGTAACGCGCCTGGTTGTCGCAACCGAACGGCTGGGCAGGAATTTGGTCATGGTCAAGATCAAGCATACCGCGTTCGTAACTCATCGTCGACTTCCTCGGGCGCAACAATCAGTCCCACGAGTCCTCCCCGCACCGTCTCCCCACGAACAGCGATGTTGAAGAATATGGTCGGCAAACAAACTTCCGCATCACCGAAAATCTTCCCACAGAAAACCTCTCTCTTCACAACCATCCCCTCACAATCCCTTTCCTCACCACCATACTCCCCACCCTCATCTGTCCCCAGCTCAACTTCCAACCCCAACTCCATCCAGTCCCTCCCCTCCAATCCCTCCATCCAAATCTCTAATGGAACAGAGACATCGCACGTCTCGCCCATCTCTCCAGCCGGCACAATGCTATCGTATACCTCCAACCGCGCCCCAGACTCGGGGCTTTTGGCTGTGAAGCCATTATCGGAAGATCAAGTTGCGGAATACCGTTTTTGGAGACCGTGTGGGAGGAGGAGTTGTGCGTTTGGGTGTGGGAGCAAGGATGTTGGGGAATGGGGGGCAGCGAGAAGGTTATTTAAGGGGGAGGAGGAGGTTGTGGATGATGAGGGGTTTGGGAAGGGTGAGAGTGAAGGGCAGGAGGGTGAGGATGAAGGCGGGAAGGGGGGGAATATTGATGAGGAGAGGGATATGCGTGCTTCCGGAGAGAACTGATGGGCAAATGTGGTCGATGTTTGTGTGTGTTTCATTCCGGGGCGTGTATTCCGTCTCAGGAACCGACCACCCGATGGCGTCTTGCGTGGTTGTGGGTCTTGGATTCATTTCTGTTTTTGCGTGGCTTTGGATGGGATGCGTCATCATTCTTGCATTACACATGCTGTTAGTTCAGGTTCTTTGGGTCTTTTTTGTAGCATGACTGGCCGGCGTTTGGTGTTTTTCTTCTTATTTTGCTGGATTCAATTCATTAAGTCACCCTCTTTCTTATCCCATCTCGTGTCTCGCTCTCTTTATAATTCATTGGCAAATTGTAATTGTGGTTGTGCTTATTCGTTGTGTAGATGTAGCTTGGTGCGTGTGGAGGTATTGCTACTATGACCTGTAACCTGGTACTTACGTGTTCTTGATGGCATCGTCTTCTTCCCCTTCCTCTATCATAATAGTATAATGGAATTCAACTCAACAGAGAGATTCGTATGTAGTTAATAGTCTCCGTAATTTTGGTAGGAGGTTTGACTATTTAACTAACGTCCCTCCCTGCCGAGACACCCTCCACGCTGAGACAGATAAAGGGTACTCTAGTTAACTTTCAGTAACTTGATTTTAGCGCACACGTTAGTATATATCACAATTCTATATAAGTTGTATACTATAGCTATTCTAAAATATATAAGGCTTCTCCTGCTAAAAAATTACATTTGTAATATTGTCTTTGCGCTTAAGTAATAACGTACTTCACAGGCGAGTTGCTCACACACCTAAGTTGCTTACTTTTACTAAGACCCTACTAAACTACCCTTTCTACACTAATGCATTCCCTATAACACTACTTAAACGCGCTAAAAGAATGTTAGATATAGCTTATGCTCTAAGCTTTTAAATAAGACATAAAACTCTTAAAAAAAATGTGCTACAGCTATATATAAAGTTTTATAAAAAATAATAAATAACTATAGCACTAGATAACCTTTATAAGCTAATTTTACAGCTAAATTATAAAGGCTAGGTAATAAAAAGAAGTAGGTAATTATTAAGACTATACTTAAGCTATATACATAAGGAATTTCCTTTTAGATAGCATTTATAGCTAATATAGCTAATTTTTTACGCGCTAAGCGTAATCTAGGCTATATTTATATAAACTAGCCTAGTATATTTATAAAGTGTTATTTAAAGCTTAAAGTAAAGTTTTAAGCATAAGTATAGTTAAAAGATATTTAGCTAATTATAAACTCTGTTTTACTAAAGTTGTACATGTTATTATTTTAGATGCTATACTTAGCTTTAATATTTTTTATAAGGCTAAACCTGCTCTAAATTACTTTAAGACTTTTATAAAAAGCTCTTTTATAGTTATACTTATGCTTAAATGTTACTTTAAGCTCTAAATAACACTTTATAAATGTACTAGGCTAGTTTATATAAACATAGCCTAGATTATGCTTAGCATGTAAAGAATTAGCTATATTAGCTATAAATACTATTTAAGGGGAAATTTCTTACGCATATAGCTTAAGTATAGTCTTAATAATTACCTGCTTTTTTTTATTACCTAGCCTTTATAATTTAGCTATAAAATTAGCTTATAAAAGTTATTTAGTGCTATAGTTATTTATTATTTTTTATAAGACTTTATATATAGCTGTAGCATGTTTTTTTAAGAGTTTTATATCTTATTTAAAAGCTTAGAGTATAAGCTATATCTAATGTTCTTTTAGCGCGTCTAAGTAGTGTTGTAGGGAATGCATTAGTATAGGAAGGGTAGTTTAGTAGGGTCTTAGTAAAAGTAAGCAACTTAGGTGTGTAAGCAACTTGCCTGTGAAGTACGTTAAAGAACTTTCTTTATATAAAACAATACTGCTTTGCTACAGTAACACTATTAAGCTGTTACTACTTATAATACTTATATAGGTATTTTATCTACACCTAAGAAGCCTATAATGTTCTAATAAGTTTTCGTTAGTCTTGTGTCTATTATTGCGCATGAATTTATACAGGTTGCCGTCCTAATTAGTACCTCTAATAAGACGAATCACTAATCCTAGCTACTGAAAGACAGCTATAATTTTATTACATTGTAATCGACTTACACCGGCCGCCAAGCAGGCTCGTGGTTGTCACACCTGTGGCTGTGCGAAGCCTTAGCAAGCTAGCCAGCCTAAACCTCGCAGCTTTGCGATCCAACTCAACCTTAGCTGCTTTCTGCCTCCCAGTCAACCATTCACCCTGCTAGCGGTGGCGACATCAAGTGCTAAATCACTTTGACTACTAGATTTTAACTCACAAGCATGCATACGCGGCTGGACTCTTTGCGCATATCCACAAGCGGTCCGCCGCGCTAAACATATTGAGCTCGTTCATGTTATTGTGGGGCGGCTGTGTCCGAGGTATGAACAGGGACCGCAACTAGCTCTGAAGGTAGCCGAATCTGACGAGGATGCTTGGCTCATCAATATATATATGTCTCTTGTAAAACCGATACGCAATAAGATTAAATATCCATTCACGATATCCCTGCTATGCTGCAGTGCGGCTATCTTCAACCTTTGCCAAGACATTGTAATATTCGTTTCCTGCTCAGGCCAAGACATACACAGCCTTCTGGTTTCGCTGCTGCCTAATCGTTCAGATCTCCTTCAAATCGTTCACTCAAAAGGCTATTGCCTCAAACCGTCATCATTGGTATGGGTAATTGAACTTACTTTGTTGAGCATAGAGGCCTACACCCGTAAGTCGCATAATAGTACTGCTGTCAGTCATAACTCTAACCATCACAGCACTGTCCATACATCTCCACGGCAACACAGTACCCGTTCCCAAAATATATTTGCCAAAGATCGCAAATGGCCCGTTTTAAATACAAGCCAATAGATCTCGGAGGTCCTTCCTTTCGCCTTATTCGTCTTTTCAAAGGGGAAGATGGACCGATTCAGTGCGAATTGTTCGATGCATGGCTTCATGATGCAGAAGAAATTATGGAGTACGAAGCTTTGTCGTACACATGGGGGGGTACAGAGAAGCCGTACGAAGTAGAGATTAATAAGAAGAGAATGTCGGTCACGGACAACTTGTCTCTAGCACTACGACATCTGCGTTACCAACATCAAGACCGGATTCTATGGATTGACGCAATCTGCATTGATCAGGAAAATGATAAAGAGCGGGGACATCAAGTGCAACAGATGGCGTCCATCTATAAAAGAGCTGAACGGGTTATTATCTGGTTGGGCGGAGCCACTGCTGAGACAGATCTGATCTTGCGTTTTATGAATCGACTAGAGGAAGAGCGTATTAAACATGCATGCAACAAGTGGAAATCCTCAGACAAGAGGTGGTCGGACATATGGTCGTCTGTTCAGCCATTACTGGGTGATGTACAGGATGACCTGATGTTTCGACAGCGTAAGGGTCTAGCGTCCCTCTTAGGTCGGTCCTGGTTCAGGAGAGTTTGGATTATACAAGAAGTTGCCAACGCACGGGCGGCCGAAGTTGTGTGTGGCACCAAGTCAGTCTCAGCGCGCATCTTTGCTCTCATTCCATCTTTAGTAGGGATGACTCCAGATGTCCATTGCCAAGCTGTCTTGGATATAATGCCAGGTTCTTCTCGGAACAACTCTTGGTGGAGTCAAAAGCGCGACCTTCACACATTACTGCTCAAATTCAACGCAAGCGAGGCTTCCGACCCGAGAGATATTATCTATGCGTTGCTTGGTATATCATCAGATGGGCATAATACGGACACCCTAGTACCAAACTATGAGAAGTCTGTACAGGAAGCTATTTGCGACACTATTTCCTTCTTACTTCACTACCACGACTGTGAAAGTCCTATAAATTGCTTACCGCGGTGGACATTAGCCGAGTTTCTGCAGAATTTGGAATCACTCAGCAATGCAGTTTTCGATTGGGCAATAGAGGGGAGCCATCGGGGTATAGTGGAGTTGCTAATGCACCGTGAAGATGTGGATGTGAACTGGAAGGGTAAGTCTGGCCGGCCACCTCTATGGAGGACAGCAGACAGAGGAGATAAGGTGATAGTGAAGCTACTGTTGGAGCACAACGACATTGATGCTGACTGGAAGGATAGCAGCGGCCAGACGCCGCTATGGAGGGCGGCAGACGGAGGGTATGAGGAGGTCGTGAAGCTACTGATGGAACACAACGATGTTAACCTAAACTCAAGGGATAGTAGCAACCAGACACCACTACGGAGGGCGGCAGACAGAGGACATGAGGCGGTAGTGAAGCTACTGTTGGAACACAACGATGTCAATGCCGAACCAAAGGATAACAGCGGCCAGACGCCGCTATGGAGGGCGGCAAATGGAGGGCATAGGGCAGTGGTGAAGCTATTGCTGGAACGCGACGATGTCGACCCGAACTCGAAAGATAGTAGCGGCCAGACGCCACTATGGAGGGCAGCAGACGGAGGGCATGAGGCGGTGGTGAAACTACTGCTGGAACACAACGATATCAATGCCGAACCCAAGGATAGAAGCGGCCAAACGCCGTTATGGAGGGCGGCAGACGGAGGGCATGAGGCGGCAGTGAAGCTACTGCTAGAACGCAACGATGTTAACCCAAATTGGAAGGATAGTAG